CTTTCTATATCCTTTTAAATTCTGTACAATCTGTGGTAATGTCTCCTAGATCTTAATATTGTAATTTAAAAGATGTATAACTGATATCGTGTAACAGGAAGAAAAGGTCTAAAAGAGCAGGGGAATTGGGAGGGGTAGGGGAAGGGAAAAAATATAAGAGGAAAAAAATGGAAACAAAGTCTTTGCAAATAGGAAAGGGTTGAGGGGCTGAAGGGAGGGCAAGGGAAGGGGAAAAAAATAAGAACCAAGATGCTCATGTAATGGTACAAGATCCCAATGATTAATGTAACTGTATTTTATACTGAAAATGTACCAATAAACTTAATGGGGGGAAAAAAAGCCACAGCAATGAACTATATCCTCAGCCCTTTTTTAAATTTTGAGACAGGGTCTTGATAAGTCATCTAGGTTGGGCTTGAATTGGAATCCTCCTTCCTCAGCCTCCCAGACTGCTGGAATTACAGGTGTGCACCATCACACCTGGCTTAAGCTTGGATTTTATAACAGGAATGGGTAGCTGGTGGGTTCTCAGGAAACATTATCAAATTTAGAAAGACCACTCTGCCTCAGCCTGGAGATTGTATTGGAGGGAACAAAAGAGCACCTACCTGATTCCTCACTGTAACCCTAGCACCTTGCATGCTGCCTGCACTTACCTGGCACTCAGTAATGTTTGTGGAATGAATGACTGGACAGGAAGCTATTGCAGTAACCAAGGCTCGCAGGTGAAAACAAGTGTTGCAAGTTGGGATGTTTTCTAAATTTAGTTGATAAAACCTAGTGATGGAGTGACTGAACATGGGGGTTTGGAGGTCAGTAAACAGAAGAGTCATACATTTTGATCCCCAGTACCAAAAAAAAAAAAAAAATCATACATGATTCCCATAAATCTAACTTGGACCAAGTGTGTATGATTGGAGAGCATAGTTTGATGAGATGGGTAAGATGGAAGAGGGATATAAAGAGAGTTCTATTCTTTCCCAGTTCCCACCATACAGGCCACGGGGGGGATCTGTGACTGAACTCCCAAGGGATGAGGGCCGTGACACGCTCTCAGAACCTTGGTTCTCCCAGATCCACGCTAGGCACTACGAACAACATCTATCCGTAGGATGTGGAACTGGGACTGGGCAAAAGTTAGAAAAGGCCCAAGCCAAACAGCTGGCTGTCTTTTCAGTGCTAACCTCCTGTGTTAACTCCTGAGCAGCAGTTTCCTCAAGACCGTCGCGAAAGTCAACGCACCAAGTACCAGGCCTAAGCTGGAACCCTAAGAATTCTGTGGGAGAAATGTTCAAGTTCCCTTGGACCTGGGTTTGCCTTCCCAGGGCAGGAGCCTGTCAGATTCCTCTCGCCTCTGATCGCCAGCGTCCCCCGACCCGAAGTCACGGCCTACCTGCAGACCCCGTAAAGGCGACGCGCTTCGGCCCAGGCTGCTACTGCAGATAGCCCCTCTACACGGTTCGCCTTGGTCAGAAAAGAGTCCACCCGCCTAGGCCGCTGCCAAGGCTACAGGACCGGTTTACCCACAACATCACTGCCGGACGCCGGAAACACTCACCCCCGCCCATCCCACAAAGCCTGTTGGGAATCAGAGTCCAGGAAATGCCTACAAGACCCAGAGGGCTTTGCGCCAACAAGGCCTCCGGAAGTAGTTGTGGTCTCAAAATGAGAGGATGGGGTGGGAGAAACTTTGGGCATTCTGCCCCCGCCTCCAGATTGAGTGTTATGCATGACGGGCCTTGTAGTCTCGGTTTCCCGGGTAGGCAGGGCTGGACCGCTCCTTTGGGAGGAGGCGGGCGCAGGATGTGACCTCACAGCCCAGGATCGCGGACCGGCTGGCGGCCACGGGCCCGCGGCGGCAGAGTCCGCTTGCCACTCAGCTGAAAGCAGAGGAGCCCCCAGGGACGGTAAGAACTCTGCCTGCAGACGCTGGAGGGGAAGGGGCGTTCGGACCCCATGCGGGGTCCTGGGGAAAAGCCATGGGACGGGGTAGGGGAGATGGAGATTTCAAATCTTCCACCGGGGCTGCGTGTCAGAATTGATGCTGGTTTCCCAGTAGAGAGGAGGGCTGCGGGCTGGAGAAGAGCCTATACTGGCCACCAGAAAGATTGGTTGTCGCTAAATATTTTCAGTACCCTTTGGATGTAGCCTAAGCTTCACCCCTAAGATTTCTGCTTTACCAACCCTCTTGAGCCAACAGCAGCTTTCCGCCCGCCGCTCGCCATTGTTTGACGAATTTGTGGATCCATTTTCCTTTAGGACCCCACCTCCTTCCACCGCCGTAGTTATTTGTCCTTTGTTCTGCTTGGGTCCCCATCAGCTTCTCTGGGTGAAACACGGACCCGCCCCTAGCCCTAGGCATCCCCAAATATCCACACATGGAGTCCGGAAGGAAGGCTATCAGTGGAAACTTCATTCTCACTGGAATTACTTTCTGGGGCGTCACCTGCCACAGGATTCCTGGAACCCATTGGTCCGAGTGGAATTTGTCCTGACGTCATCCAGGGGCTTAAAGCAATTGCTTTGTAGGAAAAGAATAGATTAGCTCTGGATTTGACTTGGCAGGAGAAAGTGTACGTGGGTCCTGTGTGTGTGTGTGTGTGTGTGTGTGTATGTGTGTATGTGTGTGTGTGTGTGGTTTTTTTGTGGTACTGGGGATTGAACCTAGGGGTGGTCTACCACTGAGTTGCATGCCTAGCCCTTTTCAGTTTTAATTTGAGACAGGGTCTCACTAAGTTGCTCGGGCTGTGCCATGTGCCACCGTGCCCGGCTCTATGTGCACTTTCTTTGATCTTCAGGAAATTGGGACTGAACACAGAAGATATGGGGGACTTGCTAAAACCCGTTAAGGGGTAGACTTACTCCTTGGGGGTAGGCAGAAGAAGGTAAGGCGACCTCATCTCATTCTAGTGTAACTTGGTCATTGGGTAGTCCCAAGTCTCCTGGACAAGCCACAGAAAGATTCGCTGCTACACACAGCACTCACCCTGGCCCTTTCTTGAACATTCTTCCTAGGGACATACATAACTCTGTGTGTGCGTGTGTGTGTCTGTGTGTGTTTTACTTGGGGTTGACCTTAGTGCCTTTGCACAGAACAACATCCCCAATCCTTTCTTACTTTTTAATTTTTAATTTTGAAATGGAATGGCCAGGTGTGGTGGTTCATTCCTGTTATCCCAGCATTCTGGGCAGGAGGATTGCTTCGTTTGATGCCAGCCTGGACTACATAGTGAGTTCAAGGTCAGCTTGAACTACAGAGCAAGACCCTGTCTCAAAACAAACAAAGACAAAGAAAAGTACCACTACAGTACAAGCCTTTGGCAGGAGGGGAAATTTCCCTTTGAGCAGGGGAAGGATTAAATTTTTGCCAGACATGGTGGTACATCCCTGTAATCCCAGAACTCCAGAGCCTGAGTCAGGAGGATTGCCTCGAGTTTGAAGTCAGCTTGGGCTACAATAGTGAGTTCAAGGCCAACCTGAACTGTATAGCTAGACTTGACTCAAAGGAAAAAAAGAAAAAATAGGGGTTCTACTAAATCTCTTAAATTGCCCAGCTGGGCTCTAACTTTCAATCCTCCTGCCTCAGCCTCCCAGAGTGCTAGAATCACAGGTGTATGCCATCACACCCAGCTGTATATAAATCATCTCAGGAACAATTTAGTCTAATAAACTGACATATGTTGAAGACCTAAAATGTCCCTGGAACTGTTTGAGGAGCAGAGCAGTAAACTTGGGGACAGCAGTGCTGTCTGTGAGTTGCACTTAGATTATGAGCAACTGGAAATTCTTTGCTGTTATGAGGATGAAATGAGGTAATTTGACTTTTTTCTCCTGTCTCCATTACTAACGCTGTAGTCTGAGCCTTTGTCATTTTTTCCCAGAACCACTACTTCCACTGAGCTTCCCACTTCCTCTCATGCCTCTCTACGATCCATTCCCTACATGGCAGCCACATTTATCTTTGCAAAACATAAATAAAATCAGACTGTATCACTCCCCTGCTTAAAGCCCTCCAATTGATTCCTTATACTACATTGCAATTATATGGCAATTAATATAAAACCCAAACTCTTTGCTGTCATCTAGCACCTGCCTTCCCTGGCATTACATCAAACCACTTTCCCCCTACCTTCTCCACACTAGGGGCCACGTCCTTATTTCTGTTCTCAAAACTTGTAACAGGAGCTTTGCACTTATTCTTCCACCTGGAATGCCAGTGTCACCTTCCCAAAGAGACCTTCCCTGTCGTTCTATCTAAATTACATTACCACCTGCTCCTAATCACTCTGTTAACACCGTCTTATTCTCTTTATTGCACTTATCAATTTATTGCCTTCCACATTGTCTGATTGTTTCCATATACATCTCCCCATACCGGGGATCAAACTGAGGACCTTGCGCTTGCAAGGCAGGCGCTGCACCACTGAGCTAAATCCCCGGCCCTCCCATATACATTTTTTGTGGGGGTTTTTTGGTTTGGTTTGGTTTGGTTTTTTGGTACCGGGGATTAAACTCGGGTCCTTGGGCTTTTGACAGAACCACTGAGCTAAATCTCTGGCTTTTGTTCTTGTTTTTTGAGACAGGGTTTCACTATGTAGTTCGGGCTGGCCTTAAACTCACTGTGAATGCCCTGCCTCAGCCTCCAGAGTCTTGGAATTACGGGTGTGCACCACCATATCTGGCTTGTTTCCCTGTTTATAGTCTGTCTCCTTCCACTAGAGAAAAATGACTCTTCTGTATTTGTTCTCTTTGTTCCCAGTGCCTGGGACATAATAGGAGCATGGCAAATGCTAACTCTTACTTAACTCTTTAAAAAAAAACAAAAAAAACTCTTATTAACACTGTGTTGTCCTTTGGGGCTTGTTTTGTTTTGGGTTTTGCTTTTTTCCCCTTGAGACAGCATCTCACTATGTATTCCTCTATGACCTTGAACTCACGATGATCTTTCTGCCTTAGCCTCCTAAGTACTGGGATCACAGGTGTGCACCACCATGCCCGGCTTTGTGATGTTCCAGCCACTTGCAGACAAGGACAGTATCTTTGCATGATTCCCTACTGGTGCACGCTTGCTTAACATAGTAGGCACTCCTTAGTTTTATTGCTAAATGAGTCAGATGAGATAAGATGTACTAAATTCTTAGAATAGTACCTGGTTTATAGCAAACATGCAATGAATGTTAGCTATTGTATTTTTTCTTCAGTGAGTTTTAGCAATTCTTTAGACAGCCAAAACATACATTTGTCTTGTAGTGTTGCTTTAAGAACCTCTGTAGATACCAAAATCCATGGATGCTCCACCTTCCTCAGCCTCCCCAGTGCTGGGATTACTTTGCATTCCGCTGTTGGTTGAATCCACAGATTTGGGACCTAGAATATAAATTACAAAGAGGGCTAGTGAGTAAGTTGTAAATCACAAGGGAGACCAGGCTGCACTCTCCTCACCTCCTGGTCCTATGAACTGCTTTTTTAAAATTATTATTTGCATTTATTTTTATGCTTAATTTATTTCTGTGCTGTAAGTTTTTGTTTCTTCAGTTTCTTCTGGGCTGTCTTCTTTTTCTTTTTTCTTTTTTGGTACCAGGGATCGAACTGGGGTCCTTACGCTTGCACAGCAGTGGGCTGTCTTCCCTTTCAGTCAGGATCATCTCAGTGTGGCATGGGGAGCTCTTGGATGGGTTAATCCAACCATGAGCTCTGTAAGTTCTGGGAGCATCTTGGGTGCCTTGTTCACCTGGGTTTGTTCAATGACCAGACAATCTGTGTCTAAACCCCGAAGTTCATTATTATAGTACTCTCTGTATTTTTAAGCATGTGCAGCAAAACTTCAGCACTCTTTCTGGGCCACTGGCCCTGTGTCCAGCCCCATTGTTTGGCCTGGGCACACCTACCGGCTCCACCACCAAAGCCAGAATGGCACACTTTTGCTTCTTTAAAGTGACGTCCTTCAGATACTTGGCAGCCTTTCCGATATGCATGCTTTTGATGGTCTGGGCTATCATCATCAAGAACATCACGGATGTTGTTAAAGTGAACACGAAGATTTGAGCCTCTTTAATTTGGATGATTTTGTGGGGTTTTCTGAGTCAAGAGTAGGAAACTATTTGCACATGTTAACTCAGGCCACTTACAGGAAGAGCTGTGAACTCCTATTAACATTTTAATTTCTGTGCTGGGCATGGTGGTACCCACTTGTAATCCCAGCGCTCTGGAGGGCTGAGGCAGTAGGATCACAAGTTCAAGCCTGGCCTGGGCAACTTAGTGACTTAGCAAGACCTTGTCTCAAAATAAAAAAATTTTTTTTTTTAATTTTAAGAGCTGGGGATATAGTTCAGTGCAAAGGCCCTGGATTTAACCCCAGGACTGCCACACACACAAACGCACAAAATTCCACATCACTTAAACATTTTTAAATTCATCATCTGGTCTTTCTGGTCTTTTCTCCCTATCCTCCCCACCCCCACCCCGTACCAGGGATCGAACTCAGGACCTCTTGCTTATGAGGCAGGCATGGCACCACTGCCTTTCTCCCTATTCTTTTTTTTTTGGTACCAGGGATCAAACTTGGGTCCTTGCGCTTGTGCAGCAGGCGACAAAACCACTGAGCTAAATCCCCAGCCCTTTTCTCCCTATTCTTAATGGGAGGGAAGAGAGGAAGACATAGGGCTGGGCTCCCTCTCAGGAAAAAGAAGCAAAAATAGCTATCCTGTAATTGTTCTGCCTTGAAAACTGGTGACAATTTCAGGAACTTGGGGCCAAGCCTGGTGTCAAAAAAGGGAAAAGCAAAAAAAAAGGAAAGGCCAGGAAACCCAGTGGGAGTGCAGGTAACCTCTGCCAAGCACACTGGGCAGCTGCCGGCGAGCTGGCCCACTCTGTCCCCTCTGGGAGCCACACTCACTTTCCTTCCTGAAGCCAGACTCCCTCCCACTGGTGCTAAAGCCCTGGCCAGGGCTGCTTCTGGACCTGAAATCTTGAGAAAGGAAATGCATCCTGTCCCTCTGGCTCATGGGAAATTCCTCAGCTGGCTGGATTCCTAGTAGATTGGGTTGAAGGTCTGGGATCCTGGGAACCTTGAGAAGAAAATATCGAGCCTGGCTGGTAGATCTCCATGGTGATCGGTTCCCCAGCCCCTGTCTGGCTAGTTCCAAGGGTGTGCCTGTGTTTTCTGCCACCCAGAATTGAGCTGAGTCTTAAGCTGGTGAGGTTAGCAGGGTAGGGCTCTGGGAGATGGTGCTCCTGCTGGTGTAGGCTCCTGATAGGAGAGGAACAGTCTAGGGAACGTAGCCTCTGCCTTGAGTGCTGCGCTTATCAAGGAGGGAATACTGTAGTCAGAGTTCCTACTGTTGTCATCCCGTCATTTGAAGTCTCTGTTCCATTGACTTCTGTCTTTCCTCTCACCCACAGTGTTGAGAGTATGAGGCTCTGGCCTCCGCTGTGGCCTCACTTGTGATCACTTCCACCACAGTGGAGCCTTCCAAGCCCACCTCCTGCCGAGTGGTGATCTACCTGCAGCGGGAGATGTCTGGGGACACCTGTTTGTGCCCAGCCTCGGGGGCCAAGCCCAAGCTAAGCAGCTTCAAGGGAGGAGGGCTGGGCAATAAGTATGTGCAGCTCAATGTGGGCGGCTCCCTGTACTACACCACTGTGCGGGCACTCACCCGGCACGACACCATGCTGAAGGCCATGTTCAGCGGGCGCATGGAGGTGCTGACTGATAAAGAAGGTGAGATACTGGGGCTCGGGGCAGGGTGGGGAGTGAAGAGGGGTCCTAAGGAACTGACTTCAGGACAAGGCTTACACCTGGTAGATCTGGAATCCAGATTCACTTTTCCCCTTCACAAAGTATAAAACTTCTTCACCTAGAGTCCTTAGTAGAGATTCAGAATTCTTTGAGTTATACATAGGATGTTGTATACTTATGCATTTTCCAGAAAGAAAAGCCATACTTTTTTTTTTGGTGGTGGTACTACAGGGGATTGAACCTAGGGCCTTCACACTCAGCTATATCCCCAGTCCTTGGGCTTGGACTTGAAATCCTTCTGCCTCAGCCTCCCAGAGTGCTGGAATTATAGGCATGGACCATTATACTTGGCTTCATACTTTTTAAATATTAAAAAAAGACTAGACTTGCAGTGATGGCAAACCTTTTAGAGCTTTCAGTGATGCAAATAGCCCACTGCAGCATTCATGCCACAGAGTCACCACCACTGGACTAGAGTCTCAGAACTGTCACTTGAGCCTGAGCAGTGGGAAGAAGGCGAGCAGGAGCTGCTGGTTTCCTTGTGGCCAGGGTGGTCTGTGTGCTCCCGAGTTAGACCTCCGTGGGGCTGCACAGAGCCTGTCTGGCTTGTGTCTCCCATGGCGCACACCATCTCTTGGGTTCAGCAAGGAGGGATGAAGAGCAGCCATGGGCCCGAGAGCTAGAAGGTCCATTCCCTCTTCTGTTGCCCTGGACCCTGGGCTGTATGTTCCATGCTATCTACCACCTCCCTCATCAGGTGGCCTTTACCTGTTTCTAAGGTTATCTGGGGGCAAACAGTAATCCTGTAGGGCCATCTGAATCCCTGATTCTAGGCTGGATCCTCATAGACCGATGTGGAAAGCACTTTGGCACCATTTTGAATTACCTCCGAGATGACACCATAACCCTCCCTCAAAACCGGCAAGAAATCAAGGAATTGATGGCTGAAGCAAAATATTACCTCATTCAGGGGTTGGTGAACATGTGCCAGACTGCCCTGCAGGTACGGGGGCAGAGTTGAGTCAGGAGTTGCCCCTCCTCTGGGGAGGTAAGGGTCATTTCCTGCAGGCTGTGCAGGCAGTGAGGCTGATTGAGTCCACACCCAGTTAAAACAGTGAAATGTGACCTTGGCCCGGCAACCTGGCAGCCAGGGGTCACAATCAGCAGTGTGAATGGGCCCTGCTTCCAGGACATGTGCCTGGATAGCTAGGCTTCAGATTTTCTGGAAAGGGGGGCTCTGCTTGCCAACAGTATCTGTTACCAGGCACCTCATGATCGCTATCTGATCTGTTCTTACCAAGTAGGGGGTGGCTAAGGCAGAGGGGCTTTGTGCATCCCTGGCTAAGCTCTCTGCTCTCTGTTGTCACCCAGGACAAGAAGGACTCCTACCAGCCTGTGTGCAACATCCCTATCATCACGTCCCTGAGGGAGGAGGATAGGCTCATTGAATCCTCTACCAAGGTACCGGGAGCTCAGAGGGCTGTGGCCTGGGGATTTCAGGCCCCTGGCGTGGCACTCACTCTCTCCTCCTTCACAGCCCGTGGTGAAGCTGCTGTACAACAGAAGCAACAACAAGTACTCCTACACCAGGTAGGGTGGGGGTCTCTGTTGCAGGGCCTGGGGAAGGGCTGCAGGCGCAGCTAAAAGGGCTGAGCAGCCAGAGTGGATACTGACAACAGACCCAAGGGAAAGTGCTTGCACTCCTGGCACGAAGAGCATAGTCTGGGTCTTAGACTCGCTTATGCTAAGGGGGGAGAATAGAGGGTAGAAGGGAATCAGACAGAGCCATTTGGAACTTGGCCCAGGGCCTTGGTTGAATATGAACAATGGGACATGAGATGCTCCCTTAACATGTGTCACATCAGGAGCATGCTGGGTGTTTTCACCTGAATCATCTTACCAAGTGGAGGAGGATGCTAGGAAGCCAGTGGGCTGGGAGTCCCCCTCAGGCTTCTGCAGTCTTTGTACTTTCTGCTGGGCTGACTCCCCCAGTGCTGGCCCAGTGTCCTCATTACAGTCATACTTAGGTATACACACAAGTAGTTGGAAACCCAGAGTCCCAGACTCTCCCTGTGACTCCCTGGGGACAGGCACATTGCCAGGGTCACCCCGACAAGGGAAGAAACGCCGGCGGTGTAACTCCTTCCTGCGGGTTAAGGAGAGGCAACTGCTTCCCTCAGTTCTCTCTGATACAACTTAGAACCAACTCAATCCCTTTTCCTCACAGGCACTCAAACCCTAAGGGTGCCCGCACCATCCTGGTTTGTCTTCATTTCAGTGTGATGGGCACAGTGGGGAGGGGAGAGCACAGCTTGCCCCAGCAGCACCCCCTTGCGCCAGAACCTCATTCCCAGGCCTGCTGGCCCTTGTGGGTTTTTCAGCAACTCTGACGACCACCTGCTAAAAAATATCGAGCTATTTGATAAGCTGTCCCTGCGCTTCAATGGCCGAGTGCTCTTCATCAAGGACGTCATCGGTGACGAAATCTGCTGCTGGTCCTTTTATGGCCAGGGCCGTAAGCTGGCAGAGGTGTGCTGCACCTCCATCGTGTATGCCACAGAGAAGAAACAGACCAAGGTATGTGGCCTTGTTCTGCTCGGAGGTCAAACACCACCAGCCAGGGTGGTGGTGGTCAGGGCAGGACCCGTGCTACCCAGCTGAACACTTCCCACAAAACGCCAAAAGGGCCACACATTTTGTTCTCTTTCCCAACCATGTTGTATGGTGCTGGCTATGACAAAGCCAGAACAGGGGTTTGGGATATAGACAGGAACCAATGTGCCTGACCACTGGGAGAAAAGGGCCATTGACCCGCAGACTACCTGGTGCAGTGGGAAGAAACAAGTTTGTAAAGTTGGCCCAATTCAGTTTCTACCACCTGCCAGTTGTCTGACTTTGGATAAGCCATTTAAACCACCCAGGCCTCAGTTTCCCTATTTACAAACATTGGAATGACAGCATGAATTAACAGAGGTTTAGGAATGAGAGAGCTCTTAGAAAAGCAATGTGGTGTAGTGAAAATCACTTGAGCTGTGGAGTTAGGATGCAGTTCAGATCCCTTCACTGGCTTCTGCTACCATAGTGGGGCGTTCCTGGTCAGTCACTTTAGCCTCTGCAGACACATCCCAGAGCCAGGCATATGGGAGTCATTTCATAGGTGACAACTTCCACAAACTCAGCCCCTTTCTACCAAGAAGTAAGCACATGTCCTGCCCAAAGGAGCTGCCTCTCCTGAGGGCCTGGGGTGGAGCAGCAGTTCATCTGCAGAGGTCAGTTGCATGTGAAGGACTCAAAGCAGCTGGGCCCGAGTAGCCCCTTCCCTTTTTTTTGTACCAGGAATCAAACTTGGGGCCTTATGCTTGCCAGGCAAGCACGGTACCACTGAGCTAAATCCTCAGCCCTCAAGTAGCACATTGTTGGTCCCCAGATTGCTGCAGTACCTCCAGCTGGGTAGTAGTCTGCTGAGGTTGGGCAAGGACAGCTTACAGGAGGTGACCCTGCGTCCCCATGCAGTTTGTGGCTGTGAGATCAGGGTTGGAGGGAGAAGGACAGTGAGAGTTAGCATAGGCTCCCAGCCTTATCAGGGTCAGGGTTTGGGGCCAGGTGAGCTGTGGCAGTGGCAATGTGACCTGTCAGATTTCTAAGTGTTCTGCTTTGCATGAGCTCCCTTGACCTCTCACACCACACCCGTGAGACAGGCAGGCTAGAGCCCTTCTCCTTGTCTGACAGATGAGGGCACAGAAGCTCTATATGGTGCAGCAAGTTTACTAGTAGAATTCTGAGGCCTTGATTGCCATCTACTTTCTCTTCCACACAGGGAGAGATAAGCAATAAAAAGTAATAAAATGGCCAGGTGCAAAATAAAAACTAAAAAAGGAGGCTGCACCTCAGTGAGGACACCCTGGATTCAATCCACAGTACTGCATGGATGGATGGATGAATGAATGGATGAATGGATGGATGAATGGATGGACGAATGGATGGACGGAGGGAGGGAGGGATGGATGGATGGATGAATAGATAGATAGGAATTATAGATGCATGCCATCACACCCAACTGGGCAGCTGCTTTGTATTTATTTGGTTGTTTACTGTGTGGCAGGCTTTTTGCTAAGAGATAGCTGTTAGCCACTACTTAACACATAGGAACTGCAGCCCAGAGAACTTAGACTCAAGTCCCATCACCTAGTAAATGGTGGAGGTGTTCAGACCTAGCCCCACTGTCTGTGGATACTTGTCCATCCGTCTTGGATTGGGGTGAGACATGAGACTGATGTTCATCTTCTGTGCCCTTATGCCCGTAATCTCCTCATACCTCCTTCAAAGGGAGACTGTCCTCCCTCGTGAGCTGGCCAGCTGTCTCATGAGAGTTAGGCAGCTTTGTGGAGGAGCACAGGGCCGAGACCCCTGTCATTCCGCTCCCTTACTGAGATAAAACCTCACTTGATCTCATTCATCCCTCTCACCCCAGGTGGAATTCCCAGAGGCCAGAATCTATGAGGAGACACTCAACGTCCTACTTTATGAGACCCCTCGAGTTCCTGACAACTCTTTATTGGAAGCCACAAGCCGGAGCCGAAGCCAGGCTTCCCCCAGTGAAGATGAGGAGACCTTTGAACTTCGGGACCGAGTGCGCCGCATCCATGTCAAGCGCTATAGCACTTACGATGACCGGCAACTTGGCCACCAGTCTGCCCATCGAGACTGACAAGACCCTCAGGGAGTCCAGGCACAGGAGGCCCTGTCTCCCATCCTGTGGCTCCCCACCCCATCAGCCACCCCACACTGCTGCTGGCTGGGTGTCTTGCTCCAGCACCCAAAGGCATGACAGGCCTTGCCTGGGAGGTCAGACGGCCTTGGCCGTGTTCCCTTGTCCTGGCCCCAAGCACTTCCAGATGCATCTCCCTTTCTGCAAGACAAGGAGCTGCTTCTGCTCTGAGGTGAATGGACTGACCTCCCACCTCCTGCTAAGAACATTCCCTCAGGCCCTTTGCTGAGTGTCCCCTTCCTCAGTTAAGGCCCATGGGAAGTTTTATTCTGGGAGGAAGGCAGCTTTTGGTGCTGTGGAAGCCCAGATTTTTGCAGAAGGGGGCTTTTTTCCTAAGGTGTTTAAGCACAGGTTTGATGTCTTTGGGTTTTTTTCAATAATCTAGGGAATTAATAGTTTTGAATCTAATAAAGGGCCTGGACATCTCTGCTATCCCTGCAGAGTGCCAGGGCCCTGTGTAAGCCAGACCCTTCAAGGGCCCTTCTTGATGCCTTTGGGATCTGTCTTTAAAGCACTTTGTACTGTTATTCAGGAAGTCTGTAATTTTCCCTGACCAATGTCTTTTTCTGATCCTAATCCCCTCCTGAAGAATCAATCTGAAGGAGGGGATAAAGAGGAAGCAATAAAAAAAACCTCAAAACCAGCCAGTTTGGCTTTGCCAGCCTGGCCAGCCAGCCCAGAGAGCATCAAGAAAGGAAGGAGGCAAAAGCTGGGACCTGTGGTGTTAATAGCATCCTGTGAGAAAAGACATCTCACCCCCACAGCTTAGAGGGACTAGCAGGATTTTTCTTTTTAATTCTAGTCCTTGAGGGCATGCTGTTCTCACATACCATAAAGCCAGAGGCTGGCATAGAGGCCTGGAGCTAGGCACCTGGAAGGCTACAAAGCCTATGGACACTGCACAGGGCTGGCCTGTGCTCCCAGCTGCCTGCATAGAGATGGCCAAGGCTTGTCTACATGTCTGCCCACCCTGACATCCACATTACTGGTTTGTGTCCTGGCTAGGAAAGGTGGCTGTGCTCAGTGGTGTCTCTGGGGAAAGTGACCATAACAAGCTAAGCCCTTTGAAGACCCTCATTCCCACTTGCTAGGTCATTTGGCCATGGAGATGCCACATGCCAGCCAGGGTGGAGTTCCCACTCAGGACTTTGGTTTTTATCCCCTTTGTTTGGCTTGGCCCAGTCTGGCAGTTTATCTGAATTCTTTCCAGAGGAATGCTGTCAGGGAGGGAGCTGTTCTACTAGCCTAACGAAGCAGTGTGGCCATGTCCAGTCCCATTCTCTCAGGACGGAACACAGGTTGCCATGCTCTTCCCTGGGCTACTCTTCAGATTGCTAAGTGGCTGCTCACAGCACATCAGAGCCTATGGGCAAATACCAGGCTCAGCGTTGGACACTCACAGGGACCTGAAATGACATGATGGGGCAAGGCAAATGTGACTTACTAATCAGGCATTCTTTGTTAGTCACAATCTTGAATGTATAAATAGCTCCCAGGTCAGATGTTGGTAACCAGCTACTAGTCTTATAGTCCTCCCTGGAGTTAAGATGACAATCCATTTCTTTGGTCAGATTCAGGCTTTGGCTTTGTAGCTTTCCTATAGACTGGAATGCCTCAGCCTGAGGCCACCATCCTATTTTCTCAGCTGTCCTCATAAAGCCCTTTAATAAATTCCCAGATCCCTACTAAGGTATTTTCATGCTTGTCCTTTGACCTGTGTATCCCCTTTACCTGCTAATTAGTGCTTTGACACTCAGGTCCTCAGCCATCTCAGTGATACCCAGTTTGGGTCCTGAGAAAGCACAGTAGTCTGGGGCTGGGCATTTTTCTCCTTTTGACTGTTATCTCCTTGATCTTAAGGAAAACACTAACACTGAATTCACTGACATGACCTAAGCTTCTTTAATCAGACTTTGCGGCTTAACAGTTTGGGGAATTTCCTAGTCCCATTCAGAAAGCAGCTCTTAGCAGTTTGAGTTTTTGAATTCCAGCCAAGCAAGAGAGACATAAACAAAAGAATGGATTAAGGTCAAACTTTCTTGTTCGTTTCTGAGAAAACTGGAAGCTTGCTGTTAACAACACAGACCAGTACTTGTTTTTGTTGAATTTGGTGTGTGGCCATGGACTGTCTGAAGGACAGCACAGATCCTGGGGTGAGAGAATTTTTCCTTTATCACATAACTGCAATCTTTTGTTGTTCAGCCTAAGTGATGGAAATAAACACTAATTTCTAATAAAACTTGTACAGTGATACACAGCTTGGCCAGCTCACAGCTGTGGGCTCGGATCTTGTATTACTGTTACCACCTGACTTCCTGTTCTAGCTAGGTCATAAAAACTTGGGTTGCCCTATAACTGAAGCGCCCCCCACACACAGTGGAGGATTAAGGAAAACACAAGAGTTGGAACTGAGATTTTATTATTAATTTGAGAATGAAACTACCTCTTAACAATCACTGCAATAGTGGGAGAAAAGGAATCCTAAGAAGTAGGGCAAAATACAGCCCATTTGTCTCTGGCTCTTGGAGATCTGAGTTCTTAAAGTAGCTTGGCTTGGTCACTGTCCATACTTCAAGCTGCTCCTTGGCCAAATTCCTGCACTTGTGGTGTGGATGTGCACGGCAGGCAAACCCAGTGTGCTAGGAAACCCAACTGGCTCACCTCACTCCTCTCCCAGACCCAACAAGGCCAGAGATGCTGATGGGTGGTCAGTGCTAAGGGCCAGGCCATTCCAACCCTGACACTGGCCGCCTTCTCTGCACATGGCAGAGGCAAAAGAAGAGAACAAGAGTCCAGTCCAGCACCTGCTCACTGGCAAGAGGCACAGTGCCTGCAGATGTCCATCCAGCCTCCAGGATCAGAGGGGAAAGACACAGGCCCTAGTGGAGAAGGCAGCTCCCTGGAAATGACTTTGCATGGAAAGCAATCAAGGGCCCCCACTGGGTCAGAAAGGGAGCCTGAGACCCTGAGAGCAGAAATGGCAAGGGTAGCAAAGTGTGCACTAGTTTATTGACCAAACTTCATATTGCAAACAATTTGTGACAGGTCAAGAAACTCCTCCAGGCCTGTGGCAGCTGAACAGTTCCTTGATGGAAAGGTTTACAGGAACATGGTGTAGGCAGGGCTTATGAGGAAGCCAGCCAGCCTTAGAGGAGTCCTACATGGGTCTTTGGAAGAAAACAGTTACTACTACACCCCCCTAAAAATAGAGCCCCACAATCAAATGTGCAAAGGATGAAGAAACCCATTTGGGCCATGATGAGGGGAGAGAGTTTTGCAGCAATTGTAGGTTTACAGCTGATCTGAGGGGCCATGCCTAGTCACTCAAGGCCTCAGCTGGCCTACCAGTGAAGGCCTGAGGGTGGTGTCTTCTCATCTTTATTGCTTTCCAGGGAGAAAGGTGGGATTCGGACATCAAAATGGGAGCCATCAGGTCGCTCGAAGCGGAACGTGCCCCTGGGGGTCAGAGGGAAGCTGGTTTAGAGGGAGTAGGGGCTGAGGATTTCGATGGGCCCATGCTCTCAGCTCCAGAACCACAGCAGGATGAGGTATGCCTAGGTTCTCCTGCTAGCTCCTGACAGGACGACTCATCCAGAAACCGAAAAACCCCGCTTGGCCCTGAAAAGAATCACAGCTGTCTAGATTTTGCCCCTGCAATACACACTGCATGAGCTACCCAACTGCACTCTCAGGTTACAGTGTGAAACACCCAGGAGAAGATCTACATAACCAACTCAGTGAAGCATCAAAACCCGAGACCAGTGGTGGCGAACCTATGGCACATGTGCTACAGCAGCTGTTTGTATCACTGAAGGCTCTAAAAGGTTTGCCATCACTGCCCTAGACCTAAGTCCTCAGTCCACATCATAGGGAACCCAGGCCAGGCAGTCATAAAAAGCAGACAAGTCCCACACAACAATGAGTAGCAGATAAGGCTCCATCTCAGGACGTGATTTGGCCCAGAGCTGATCACTAGCTCTGTGCTTGCTGAGCTGTCGCTTTTCTGACCTACGTCTGTGGAGCTGAGCGGCCCCTGCCCCAACACATGCTCACTTACCACATGTGCCCACTAGAGGCCTGCAGGGAGACATGGCTGCTATACTGGAATGCAGGCTGCTCCTTGGATAACACTGGCTCCTGCAAGGATTCAGGCAAAATGGTCAGGCCAAGCTCCAGCGATGCATTCCCTGCACTCAGAGGCCACATGCTCTCAGTTCGTCAGGCCTAGATGCCTGCCGACCGAGCAACCACCACAGCAGGCATTCCACACTGACAACCTGCCAGAACCTCCTCCCCGAGCATGGTCAGCGGCTTCACCTTTTATTCTGCCTCTGGGAAGGTAATCTCAGACTGACTGCCTACCTGAGGACACGAGGCAAAGACGCTGAGCACAAGACCCACTCTGAAAACATCCCTTTCAGTGTCCACTCACAACAGCTAAGTGCTAAGCATCTCAGCAGGTACTCTGCAAACTGCTCCTGACTTCATTCTCCTGGTGATCACAAATTACTTATATATGATCTCTATTTTAGCAGTAAGAAACAGATTTTGGTTAACTTGCCCAAAGTTATGCAGTGAGTGTACAGCTGGAATTTGAAGCCAGGTATCTAATTCCAAGTCTTGCTCTTACTCACTTTTCATGCCCTCCTCCCACCCCCCAACATGGATAAATGCTTGTTGGATGTAGGCCCTGACACTAGTACTTCTTGTGACTTTATTTCTGAGAAGACAGGGGAAGGTAGGCAGGGACACAACTTCACATCTCTTCAAGGACCAGCAAAGGACGTACATGTGTAAAAAGGCAAAGACAAGATGACTATGGGTGTTGGGAAGGGGATGCCCCACCTTAATGCATTCAAATTTGGGTTTTTAGAAGACATTACACTGCTCAACAAAAAGTACACAAGCTTTGACTTCAGACTCACTTGAACAAATCCCAGCCCTGTCACTACTTAGCAATGAGACTGTGGATTCATGTAGCTTTACAGTCTCTCTTCATCTGTGAAATAAGTCATAGGTAACCTATGTCACAGGGTTGTTTTAAGATTTCTAACCCAAGACAACCCAGTTCACACAGTGAGTCTCTGCCTAACCACAGAAAAGGAAGAAAACATGCACAAAGCCCCTAGGGTCTCTGGGAAAGACCAGGCCTGGTGATGCTCACCCTGCCCACCACCCCTCGGCCTCGAACTGTCTCCAAGGTGCCTGAGAGACTAAATATCCTCCAGTGCCGCTCCCGGAGCTGTACCACATCACTGTCCAGGTTCTCCAAGCGGATACAATAGCGCCACTGTAAGGGAAGAGAGACAGAGTTCACATTTGCCAAAGAATAGAACCTGAGCCAGCCCATCTAGAACTCTGGAGCACAGGAAGCAACAAAGGCTGACATCTGTGGTGCACAGGCTCGGTCTCCCCACCTGACCCCGAGGCACTCCTGAGCCCCCCCATGTCCTCAGGAAGACACTCACCCAGTAGACATGGGAATTCTGGGCTTCCTGGGGGAAAAAACACAAAGAGTTTAAGTCCCAGAAGGCAAGACCAAGTCTGTTCCAACAGACATGTCTCCAGTGAAGTCCAAGCATTCCAGGAAGGTTGCAAAAGCTGCACACATCTGTGGGATGATGGTGATGGTGATAAACTACGACCAACAAGCCCACAGGGAAGTGCCTGTCCCGTGTCCATTCCTGGTCTCCCTCCTCATCCTGTCAAGACCACCAACAGAGCTAGAAGCCAACTGAAATCCACTACAGTGCTCTTACCTTTCTCACCGTGTAGCACCTTTTCTCCTTCCCAGTCCTGTCCCCCATTGTGGCTGCCCAGGCCTCAGTCCTCCTCTATCCTCCCACTGTCTCTTACTGCAATACTTTGGATGTTAGATGCTGACCTCCTCTTAACCATAAGCTCATAGAAGGCAAGAATATTTTTCATTTGTATTTGCATCCCCAGGGCTAGCTTAGAGTGAGGCATAATAAATATTTGGCTATTAGATAAAAAGTGCAAAGATAAGTCCACATTATTACAACCACTAGTTTTGTTTTGTTTTTTTGGTACCAGGGATCGAACTCGGGACCTTGCGCTAGCGAGGCAGGCACCAGAACCACTGAGCTAAATCCCCGGCCCAAGCCCACACTATTTTAGGCAAGTATGGGTACATTCTTCATAAGCAAGGCTCCCTCTGAGCCCAAGCAAAGAAAGAAGAGCATGGATGGAGGACCTGTGGGACTTGGTGTGAGCCACTGACAAGAGGCTACATAACCCTACCCAACATAGGAGCTCTTGGGAGCAGAACCACAGGGACATGGTTTAGATTTAGACTCCCCCATTCCAGCAGTCATACTGAGGACACCGCCCAGAAGCTCAGGCCTAGCCCTCCAGGGAAGGCACAGGCAGGACACATACCCTCATGCCCATGTAGAAAGGGATGACAGTGACACGGATGTTCTCAGTTGTCTCCCGGTGGACATCGGACAGCTCTAGCCAGGGGTGATTCTTCTCTTGCCAGGCCCGTAGTGTTTCCCGAGCCACAAAAGGGGGTGCTGGAACAAGAGTGAACAGGTTAGTCCAGGCCAGAGCCCAGGGCATTGTACCCATTCTCCAACTGCCCCTCCTAGAAACCACTTCCCAGTGAACAAGGTGAATAAGACACACACAAAGCAAAAGCAAGGCTGGTGGTGCATGCCTGTAATCCCAGCACACAGGAGGCTGAGGCAGGAGGATTTCGATGGGTCCAAGGCCAGCCTGAACTACATAGCGGAGACCCTGTCTCAAACAAACAAACAAACAAACAAAAAAGCAAAGCTGGAAGAAGGCACAGAGCTATATAAGAATAATCCCTGAGGGGCAATGTGATACCATGGGAAGGAAAATGAACTGAGGGCTAACAGCCCTGGTTTTCAGATCTCCAACTGCTGCTACCTACCAACCTTGACTGACTGCTCATCATTCCCCAGTTTTTATCTCTGTAAGGATACAGTAGCCACAACCTCACAGAGATAAGAGGAGGCTGGAAAGAGTTCTGTAATCACTTCTGCAATACTCTCCCGGAAGGAAAAGCCCTCCCGTTCTTGCCTCCCTTGCTGACATGGACTACCTTTTGTCTGGTCATACAGAAGAAATCTTTCGAAGAGCTCATGTTGGATGGGAACCTGATCAGTGGAGGTGTAGGGGAGGATGTCTTCATGGCTCACATAGTCCAGGCCTGGCACAGAGAGGCAAAGAGTAAGGCTCACACAGAAGAGAAAACAAGGAACAGGGATGAGAAGAAACATTTCCTGGCCTTGACCAGGGTGAGTGACCCTGGCAACACACCTGACAGCATCAAAACCCCTCCCTGCAAATGACAGGACATCAGAATCCTCTCCCGGGGACACACCAGCCCCTTCCCCAAAGGCATCACTCAGATGCTAACTCCTCACCTGGAATGGCATAGAGGGCCCGGCTGTCATCGTGGTTAGCCAAAAAGGTCACAGCTTCTGTCTGAGATCTCTGAGACTAAGGTATGAAGAACATCAGTGGCTTTCTTGGCTACTGTCCAGTCCTGAAGCCTCAGGGCCCAGGACTGATCTGGCTGTTTGACTCTACTGGAGTACATGTCTTTCCATGGAGAGAACCCCCAGACCCAGCCATCTTGCCTACTTACTATATGTGGACAGTCTCGGGCATCAATCAGCACCTGATAGTAAGTATGAGTTTTGCCTTTCACCTCCTTAGAGCCGTGCCCAGCAGGATTCTCTGCTCTGTGGGTTGAGAGAAACCCAAGATCATGATCAGCAACACCCAGTCTGGCCCCTCGCTAGTCAGGGCAAACGGTGGAGGCTGGGGGCCCATGCAGCCGTCATTTGCCTTATTCTCTAGATACCTCTTGGAAGGGGGCCAGGCTGAGAAAATCCAATTGCCATCTCAGTCCCCAGGGCCCCACGTACCCTACCCCTCTCATATCCCAATCATTTAATGGAGCTATTTCTTTTCTTCTTTTTAACGTACTCTAGAGACGATGTGAGATTAAGGGAAAGATTCCAAATGAACATCAAGAAACCAAGAAGATTAGCCCCTCAATGTCTACTGGGGTACTTATAATAAAAAATTGAGAGTAGTGTGGGAAAGCATTCTAGGCAGACCTAAAAGGGACTCTCTGGCTTAAGACTGTCCCAAGCACTCAGCACTTTTGTGTACATGGGTATCAGTGCCAGAGAAGTACTCTGGGCCTGTTTCTAAGGCCCACAAGGATGCTGCCTTTCCCCATGAGACCCTAATTACATATATGTGCGATGAGTCGGGCTGCCTCCTAAGGATACTGTGGGCCTAACAACAAGAACTTACTTTTCTGAAGCTCCAGAAGCCACATCCCGGTCATATAGTCTGGCTTGCCAGGGAAACAGTACAACACCTCGGTAGCCAAAAACACTATGAAGAAAAAGCTAGAAGGAAAGAGAGGTCTCAGTAAGTCCACAGTCGAGCAAGTTCATCTAGGTGAGACCTGACCACGAGGCAGCACGTTAGGACTTCAGCACAAGGTCTTGTCACCTTTTCTCTTCATCTCCAAACCAACTTTGGAACATTACATATACCCTGTTCAACTGGCTGACTCTATTCATCCGTCAGATCACAGCTTTGGCCTTCAGGAAGCAGCCCCTGACCTCCCCTCCACAGTAGACAGCCACTGACTATCTGGATGGCGTTAATCCCTTTCTAGAGTATTAGCCCCACGAAGGCAAAACCATGCCTACTTGCTTTCTGACTTAACCCTGATATACAATATCTGGTCCATTGTAAGCATACAAAAAATTGCTGAATAAACAGTCTTCCTTACATACAAGGGGCCTAAATCTATTCCAGTGGCCCTGGAACAAAGCTGACAAAAGAAAATGAACCTCACCTCTGGAGCTTACCACATTGTAATCCGTTTGCTAATAAAACATCAAAGGTTTGCTTTTCTTTTGGTACCGGGGATCGAACTCAGGTCCTTGCGCTTATGCAGCAGGAGGCGAAACCACTGAGCTAAATCCCCGGCAAAGGTTTGCTTTTCTGAAAGTTCTCTCCAGTGACTTCACACCATCTACTATGTTAGAGAAAATCTTCAGCAACTTCACTTCCTCTTCTCTACACTAACAAGCAAACAATCCCTCTCTACACTACCTTGGAAAGAGAACCCACTGATCTATTAAGTGCATTAAAATCCAAGGAAACAGAAACCTCATCTAAAAACTTGTGATTCTGCCCCAGCACCAAATATTAAGATGGAATGGCAGTGGGGCTGTGGCTCCGTGCTAGAGGACTTGCCTAGTACTGTATGTGCATGGGTTCAATGCTCAGTGTCACAAAAAAGGAAAAAAAAGGAAAAGGGGATAAAGAGAACGAACCATACCATTTAGATTTGTGCCCAAAGGTGACTCCATTCAAATGCTGAGCACTCCATGAAAATGAAGGCCAACCAAGCCCAATACTTACCTGCCCAGTCTCGTATTTTCCATTCTGTTTTGGCACCTCAAATACACCAACTGTCTCCAACACTTTGCCTTCTGCTCGGTTCCTGATTAAGAAAGAAAAGAAAAAGCAAATGAAAAGATGAGTGGGGAATGATTCCTTTTTTTTAGGTCTCACTAAATGGTTCAGGCTGACCCTAAACTCACTATGTAGCCCAGGCTGGCCTCAAATTCCCAGGGACCCTCCTGCTTCAGCCTCCCTAGTGTTGGGATTACAGGTGTGTACCACCACACCCAGCCCTGAGTGGGTAATGATTCTTATCCAGCAGAAAAAGAAAAAAGGGCAGGGGATTTAGCTCAGTGGTTTCACCGCCTGCTGCGCAAGCACAAGGACCCGAGTTCGATCCCCTGTACCAAAAAAAGAAAATAATAAATAAAGAAAAAAAAATCTAGTAGGCTATTCAGGGACCAGGACAATGACAGCAGAGAGGTTTGAGGCAGTGCAGCCAGAGAGCCCTGCCAAGCAGCAGCATGGAAATGCTGCCTTTCCTCCTTTGAGGATGGGCCACAGCTGCTGCTTGGTGGAGACCTTTCCAATCCCCCAATACTAGATCCGACTGCTTCCAAGCCACTTCCTTTTCTCTTTACTTCCTATTCCTCATATTATGCCCTCACACTCTGCTTAAATGTATGCCTTTCTCCATTTCTTCTCTAACCCACTATCCTGACCTCTGAAAGCATTTTAAATGTCTTTCTCACTTTGTATTTCAGTTATTTCAGTCCCTATCTTATTGTCAACAGAATCTGTGAGTTCCCTGGGAGCAATGCCTATCTGTGATTAGCCTGTGCTGAGCCTTAGAGTCTGGTGTATAAGATGTGCTCAAAAAATTCTTGTTCTGTATCATAATTCCATGTCTATCTCCTCTCTAAACTAGCCCTTAACCTGTCCTTAAGGACCTACACATCTTAATAGATTCCCTATTGTACTCCATGCATTCCACTTAGTCCTGCAGTCTCTGGATGTAGTTTTTGTTCAGGCTTACATCAGTTTTCATACATGCCTTAAGTTGCAGATGGATATCACCTCTCCCAAATATCAGTAACAGTGTTAGCCACTATAAGGTCAGCTCTGTCAGTTCCCTCTCTGGACAGTGTTGTTCTTTCTAGGGGCCTTTCAAAGCAGTTATGCTATTTTGGAGATGTGAACTTGATTTACTGGCCCCAATCTGATTTGCCTGTCCCATGCCCAGAGGCACTGTTCACACTATCCCCGTGCCTCAAACCCCTTTCTCCAAGTCATATTGAGAAAACTGGTATTCCCCAAGGTCAGAGGGAAACCTGGGACCCACAAGGGCCCACACTGAAGTCGACTTGTATCCTACCTCTAACATCTTTTTGAGGGAGGCCATGACCCGACAGGGGCTGGAAGTTGAAGTCAAAAGCGCTCGATCTGCACTAAGAAGGTTGCCTACTAAGAGCGGAGCTGGGGACCTGGGCCGGGGAGAGTAGTTAGACCCTCCGAGACTGCCCCGCACGGCCAAGCTCTGGGCCGCGCTTCTTGCCCTGCTCTTGGCACATGTCCCAGGCACGGCATGTCCGCTCCCTGCTCGGAACCCTCTCCCAGGTCCAACTCCGGTCACCCTCGGACGACCCGGACTCCTACCCTCCTTACTGGCCACGAACACGCGCCCCGGGCTCCGGGCCCGGTCCCCGCGCCCCCTCGCTCCGTCCCTCACCGGGACGAGAGATGCCTCTGGGATGTCGTAGTCGCCGCAGGTGGGAAGGCCTGTGCTCCCCCCGCGGCACAGAGCGGCCTTGACCCTCTGGCTCCGGTCAGCGACCGGGACCACCAGCGGCTGCCCACGGTCAGGGCCCGCCGGGCCACACAAGCAGCCATGTCCGGCCCGAGCGCCCGCCCGGCTGCTGACACAGAGGCGGACCCGCGGCCGGGCGGCGCCCCGCCCCCGCCCCACAGTGCCCCGCGCCGCGTCCCCGCCCCCTGGGCCCCCTGCCCTGCCCTGCCTCGCACCTCCCCTCAGCTGGGAGCTACTTCCGGCGCACAGCAGGTGGAAGTCAGAGTTTGGGGAATCACAGTGCGTTAGACATGGCGTCTTCGTTGGTTGTTGGTGAGCGTCTGGTGCGCGCTCTGGGGCCTGGCGGGGAGCTAGCGTCGGAGAAGCTGCCCCGGAAGCTGCGGGCCGAGCTTGAGGGCGCTCTGGGGAAGAAGCACACGAATGTTGATAGTCCCACTGGCCCCCGACGCTTGGTTTCCTTTCGTCTGATCCGGGATCTGCACCAGCATCTCAGAGAAAGCGGTGAGCCCATTTCCAGTCCGAGGTCGCCTCTTTGTTTCCAGATCTGCCCTCTCCTGAGATCTTTTCCATCCCGCTCCCACGCTTGCGGAGAACTCATGTAACCAACCCAGAAGTCTCTTCAGAAACCCCTGGGCCACCCGTTCCCTTCTCCACTTGTGTGGGAGTTTTTCGTGGATGACAAAATTTACTTGTGTTGTGCAGACTCTGTTTTCTTGACAGTCTCGTCTTGAAGGCACACCTAGACTCAGCTGACCCTTGAGACAGTTGAGATTCCAACCCAATACCATCATCCTTTTTCACCACCTTTGGAACCAACTTAGCAAACTGAGTTTGTCCCGTTAGGGAATTTGGATTTTTTTTCTATCTCAAAAGCAAGAGTGAGGAAAAATGATTTTTTTTTTCTTTGAGGTAGTGTGACAAAAGCTACCTTAAAAGATATGGACTAGGAGTAGCATATGAGTTCTAGTCCTAGATCTGTCGGTAATTCCCCCTTGAAGAAGTCATTTCTCCTCCCTGAACCTGTTTCCTTATCTGTGAAGAAAGAGAAGGCAAAAAACAAAGCCTAGCCAGAAGTGCAAAGTAGACTGCTCACCTATTAGAACTAAAAAGAATGTTAGAAAGAGATTATCTAATCTAGTACAGTCCTCTGGGTATTTAGCTTCACTATGACTTAACCCAGAGGCAAAGTATTAGGTGTTGGTTGTCACTTTGGCAGAATAATTGAGAGCTGATAGTTAAAGTTGCCGTGCAGTGCTAGAAAGTAGGTAGAATTTTCCCCAGTCTGAAAATCATCCTGGGGATAGGTTGACATAGGGATAGCCATGTTCTATTTTAGTAGACCCTTTACTGATCTTAATCTTTCAACCTCAGTTCAGTGGGTCACTATATGGAAGCATTTTTTCCCCAGGTTCCTCAGTATACCTCCATGAGCTTTTAGAAGGCAGTGAAATCCATTTCCCAGAGGTTGTGAAGCCTCCTCGGGTAAGTAAGGATATATTTGTGAGAGTGGTTGATTGAGTTGGACATCAAATTTATTTGCATGTAGGAGTTTTTTGGGGGGTTTTTTGTTGGTTTGGGTTTTTTTTGGTACCAGGGATCGAGCTTGGGTCCTTGCGCTTGCGCAGCAGGCAGTGAAACCACTGAGCTAAATCCCCGGCGCTGGACATCAAATTTATTAATCAACTTTTGAGCTTGAAAATTTATATTTAAATCTTCAGGCTCTAGGATGAGGGAATCTTCTGTATTTGACAGCTTTGGGAAACTTATCCAAAAATCAGTTTCCAGGGCCGGGGATTTAGCTCAGTGGTTCTGGCGCCTGCCTTGCAAGCGCAAGGTCCCGAGTTCGATCTCCGGTACCAAAAAAAAAAAAAACCCACACACACAAACAGATACTGTGTTCCAAAAATCAGTTTCCAAAGCAGTAGAGGTGTGACTGGCAGGCATGTGGGTCTTTTGGCACCCTTAGCAGTACCATGCCCCTTGGAACCAATGACTATGACCTACTTTCTAGCAAGAAATATGTAGAAGAACGTTAGTCTTTTCATGTGATTCTTCTGCTTCAGAACCCAGAGTTAGTGGCCCGACTGGAAAAGATTAAGATACATCTGGCCAATGAGGAATATAAGCGGATCACTCGTAATGTCACCTGTCAGGTAAGGGTCTGCTTTTCACCACATGGAATACCTCTAAAAACAAGGCCCTGTCCTAGAAAGAGGTGTAGAGGAAAGAAACAACATAACAACTTGGTTTGTATACTATTCTGGGTCCGTAGGCCCTCTGTGTTGCATACAAACTAGATATAATTCCCAGTTCATTCACTGAAACTGATGGCTTAGATGGTGATTCCCCCCACCCACCAGGGAATGAACGCAGGACCTTGCTCTTGCCAGGCGGGCAGGGCGCCACTGAGCTACATCCCTTGGAGTCTTTTTTTTCTTAATAGAACTCCCTTCTCTTCTGTGATGTGCTCCTGCCCTGTAACAGGAGAGGGAGAGGTATTGAGAGCCTGTGTCCTCTTCTCTGTAATGCTTGATCTGTAGTGCAGAAAAGAGGCAGATTGGTTCTAGACAAAGTCCATGGAGAATGCAGAGTTAATTTATTTAGGAATAGAGAGGGCTGAGCCCAGACCAAATGGGAGCTCTCTGGGCTACCCTTGAGCTTCTTCTGTTCTGAAATCGTCTGTTTTTGCTTTTGCCCAGGATTCAAGGCACGGTGGGACTTTCGGTGACTTGGGAAAGCAAGGTAAGATATTAGGAAACCAGGCTGCTAAAGCCTTTCCCTGAGTTGAGTCATAGCATTCTTTCCCACCCCAGCATCCTAGGTTAAAGGCTGAGCTGTTCAGACTTGCTCTTTTAAGGGAACCCAGTTGATTGAGGTAAGAGGACCTCCTGGAGAATGCTGACCTAAGGGTTTCTTCTCTGGGCTCCTCCCTAAAGTGAGATCAGTGAAGGCTCTGGTCATCACCATCTTCAACTTCATTGTGACGGTTGCAGCTGCATTTGTCTGCACTTACCTTGGAAGCCAGTATATCTTCACAGAAATGGCCTCGGTGAGTAGGCACTGGGCAGGCAAAGTGCTGCAGGTGGGGGTGTTAGTAGGAAAGGGAGAATGTATGTGAAAATGTCTTGCATAGGGCGGAAATTGAGCGTATATTTATGCAATAAACAAGGGGAACATTTGAGCCCTTCAGCATTTGTGGGATGGGTAATAACCCCAAGAGAAGCCAGGACACCTTCTCCTTTCCCTCAGTTTAGGGGCTGCTGTGGGAGTTCTATATCCTTTAAGCCTACTTCTCTTCTTCCCTAGACGGTGCTGGCTGCATTAATTGTCGCCTCAGTGGTGGGCCTAGCTGAGCTGTATGTCATGGTGCGGGCAGTGGAAGGCGAGTTGGGAGAGCTGTGACTAGTGCTTCATCATCAGAGTCTGCAGAAGGTTTTGGGATCATCAGGCTCCCAAGTACCAATCATTGACTCAGTCAACCCATGAGGCTTCTTGTACTCAGCTCTAGTTAAACCAGGCCACCTGCTGTTTCTGTGAGGAGCCCCATCTTCTGTAAATTTCCAGAATGAGCAGTGGAGGAGGACGATACTTCTTTTAAACTAAAAATAACTGGTATCTTGGTATCCTGAACCCATTGCCCATCTGCCTCCTCCAGTCTATCCTGAGCACTGCTGGGACTGGGCTTTTTCCATCAGGAGTAAATGGAATCCAGGCCTCCCCAGAAGACAGACCGTACTGCCTCGAACTTGTCCTAGTGCACACGTCTTTGGTGCAGCCTGGTAGTTGAGAGCAGAATCCTCTAAGAAGGGAGATCTCCCCAGTCTTTGTTGCAGGCCAACAATTGAAAGAAGAAGCCTCCAAGAAAGGAGAAAGGGCCTGCATCTCTTCAGTCTATGCTGGAAGGGGAACTGATTAAGGAACAGAGATCCAATAAGAGAAAAATGGGTTGGTACAGGATAGTGGAACTGGAAGCCAGGCAGCTACCATTTGGGAAAGGGGATGATACTGACCCCCTTTTCCAGAATTCAAAACAGACCCAGAAGGATCACATAACCAGCTGTGATCCTTCCTCTGGTAAATGTAGCCAAAAACTCCTACATTGTCTGGATGTCTCTGTGTAATATTAAACTTCTGAGAATTTAAAGTAAGTGGTATGATGATAGATCTGTCTGTATAAGGCACTTAAAAAGGTGTCAACCCCAATTACGTATCCAATAAATATTTATTGTGTCCAGTAGTGTTCTTATTTGAAGTTGGTGACAAATAATACAAAGCACAAAGATTTCCATATTTCTGAGACTTGTGTCTGCTAACAGCAGAGCTGTCTTCCTCTTCATTCATTGCACACAGTCCTGTAGTCTTTGTTTTTTCCAAAGCTTTTCTGTTTTTATAAATTATACATTCACCAGTTCGATAAACATTTTCTCAACAAAATTTCCCAGTTTCTGTCAGTTGGGAGAAGTGTCAGCTGTGATAAAATGTAAGTGTTCTGCTCACCTGAACTGTAGAAGATTGGGTGGAAAGCTGCACTGAGGCCTTGTGGGGATTTGTGGCTGTGCCTCCCTGTGTCGGCACTCGGGCTCAGCTGCCATAGAGCCTTAAGCTTCCACACACACCCCACCTGCATACCTGACATTAGGTAGGAAGGCTTCCAAATGTTAGAGACATTTTAACTTTATCATTATCAGCATCTCAAGCAGATTGTGGGCCAGGGGTGGGGGGAAAATCTCATAATGAAATCAGAGTCTGTCCCCCATCCCCATTCATCCCGTCCCTCCTCACAAACCCACAGGCTTCTGTGACATTGAACCCTTACTGTGCGCTTGGCCCTGCTAGCCTCTGGAGATAAAGAGGCAAAAGACCTAGCTCCTGCCTAGAGAGTAATGAAGTGGCCATTGTGCAAGGAGGGTTCCATTCGCAAGGTCAGAGTTAGGCTTGTGAATCAGGTGTCCCGTCCTCCAGCTCGGCCCAGAGAAGGGAACTATGCCTTAGCCACTTCCTCTGAGTGTACTGTGCTTTCTCCAATGCACTCGGTGCAGAGAGTGCTTGGCAGGAGGTCAGAGGAACAAGAAGTTTGAGGCCTTAGCTTTCTGGCTAGAGCAGCAGAACTAGCATTTATTGAGTTTTTACTATGCCACATATGTTTAAAAACATTGTGAAATGGGAAGGAAGCAAGTTTTACCATTCTTGCCTTTCAAGCACAATGAGTTTCAGAGAGTTTCCACGTGCAGAGCACAACTAGGGTATGGATCCAGCACAGACTGATCACAAACTGCTTTTCTCCCCAAAATGGAGCTGCTCCAGAGGTGGAGACATCTGGAAACTGGGACCAGGACAGGGTACCAGCAGGGGCTCCCACCTCCACAGGGTCTGTCAGAGCCCTAAACCCTTCAATTAACCATCCCTCCCTCCATCTAATCTAGCAAAAGCCTGGGTAATACCTCCCACCCAGACTCTGTATGGAACCTGGCCCTATTTAGAGATTAGGTGATGGAGATAAATTTCCAAGCCAAATGGCCCTTGTCCCTATTCATTTGAAGCACACAACAGTCCAGATGAAGGTACAGAGTTGGGTTTTATTTGGAGATTAGTTTGTATTATAGATGATACCAAAACCCATTGTTGCTGTACCCCCGGCACCCCAAATCTGTCAGGTCCCCACAGGACTACATCAGAGAACAGCCAATGTAATCTTCGTGAAATCAGCCTAAGCCCTGGCTCCTATTTCTGCTTTATTGCTTTCATGTCACTCCCCTTTCAGACCCATAGTGATTAATTTGTCCAGGTGGCAGGAGGTCAGGAGAGGGGCCCCTGAGCCATAAAAGGGTGGGTCCCCAGCAATTCAGATTTGGAGCAGCACTCTCCTCCTCACTTAGCAGTTGGGTAGTGGCCTAAATGGCCCTCATCAAGCAGTGGCTGCCCCTTTTTAGAGGGAGGAGTTCACCTGGGATGAGAATCGGGAACCAGGTGTGGCAGTAGATGGGGGTAATGTGGCCTCCTACCAAGACACTGAGCATCTACCCCAGGAAAGGTCAGGGTGCAGGGTAGTAAGAGCCAAGCCCCAGTCATTGCAGGTGACCTGCCTGGAGACCAGCGGGAGGGGGCTAACTTCTCTTCATTTTGTTCTTTTTTGGTATGGGGAATTGAATTCAGGACCTTGCACCTGCCAGGAAGGCATGCCAGCTGAGCTACATCCCAAGCCCTAAATTCTCTTTGTATTAGAAAACTTTCTGTAAATAGAGGGGGCAGGGTATAAGAGCCAGAGAGGAGGGATCTTACAAATTCTGCCTCCAGGTTAAGAGTGATCCACATTGATGACAATGGCCGAGGCATAAATAAGGTCAGACAGGTTGCCTGAGGAGTAGCTCGCTCCAAAGAAGGGTGGACTCCTGGAACCCCAGCTGGTCCCCATGGGGCTTAGACTGTAGCCCCTGTCCAGTCCTCCCCTAGAGCCCAGCTGGGAGCTTTACAGGAAGCCTGCAGACACGCTGAGGCATGAAGAGCTCTGCTGGTGACAGGTAGAGGCTGGCCCACCATTTGGGGTTCCCAGGGCTGCTGGGGGACATCTGGAAGAGGACAGCAGTTCTGGGAACACTCAGGCCTGGGATGGAGGCCTCCTGGCTTCCTGATTCTCTTGGCCCTGCCATTCTGAAACCACACCTGGTAGGGAAGACGAAAGGGTCTATTCTGGCTCCAGCAACTCCTCCCCTGCACCAGGAAAAACAACCTGAAGGTAGGATACTCAGAGGAGAGGCTGCAGGTCAAGCTCAAGTTGGCTGAGTGAGAGTACCCTGTCCTGATGGAGGTCACAGCTTACCTGTATCTTGGCTTCAGGCAGCAGGTGACCCAGGCCAGGTACTCTTGAGTCCCGATGTCTGGGTAGGGCCATGCGGCAAACACCCGCTCCAGCTCCAGCAGCTGCCCAGCGCTGAAGATGGTCCTCTTTCTCTGGTGAGGACCCAACTCACTGGCATGGCCTGTGGGCTGGGCTGAGGGTGAAACCAGGACTTCCTGTAAGCACCTCTACCCAGCCTCAGAGCCTTCCACAGATCCTGCAAACTTACTCCCCACCCTCTCCAACCTTCCCCACCATGCCTTGCCCCCTCTTTGGCCTGGCCACCCTCTTCCCGCTAGGCCACCTGCTGAAGATGCTTCCACAGGGCTGGCCATGGAGCTAGCAGAGGGTGAGGAGCCAGAGGGCCATGCCCCAGTTGTGCCCACACCCCACCCATCTACTGGGAGCTTTATGCTGCTCAGAGTGGCTGGCCCCGCCCCCAGCAGGGGAGAGGTGTAAGAGTCCAGCTAAAGCAAATCAGAGAAGTCCAGGGAGAGAGGGGAGGCCAGGGGCAGGACTGGGGCTGATGGGGTTATGGGTGCAGTAAGTTTATCCTCACCCCTTCTGAGTTCCACCAAGGGAGCGGGTGCCTCAGCCTTCTGCTCAAACCTCAGCCTCTGGCAGGCTGTGCGTGTACTCCTAAACCTCATGAAAATCCTCCCAGGGCTCCTTTCAGGAAGCCACACTGGAGCTCCAGTGCTCCAGGTCTTTGGTTGCCCCCTCTGGAGCCCTCAGTGTCCTGGACCTGGCTGCCTTCAGGGGAGGGTGGATAGAGTTCTAACCTACAACCCTAGAACTGGCCAGTGAAGCTAGACAGGATGATAGGGGGCAGCAGATGGCAAGAGCCACCAGCTCTCAGTGGGGCTAGGGAACAGATGTCACCACAAGATTGCCCTTGGGGCTGCTCTAGATCTTTGCCTGCATCTAACTGACTCTGGTCACTCAAAACCCCAGATGGGCTTCCTGAGGCCCAGAAACCTGGAACTAGAGGAGGTCCCACAGGCACCACTGAGGGGTTAAGAAAGATGGTTACTTCTACAGTGTTCTCTTCTTTGGAAGTCATCTGGGCTGCTTTGCCAAGGGACTATATGTGAATTTCCTTCCAGTTCCTGTCCTTCCCTATCTCTCCACACCTCAACCCCAGACCCAGGACAGAAACCTCAAAAAAGGGCTCACCGTGGGGTAGGTTAGGAGGATGATAGTGGCTGGTTCCTCGGGTGCTCAGGAGCTAACTGGCTTTCAGATTCAGGCCAAGCAGAAAAGCTGAGCTAGAACCCCATGATCTCTTACCCCTTCTCTCTCCTCCATGACTCTGTTCAATTTCAGGGGCAAAGCAAGCCTCAGTGGGAAAGGGATGGCTTGGTAACACCTGTCATCATCAGTGTCTTGAGTGCCTGCTTAGTTGCTGGTGGGCTGCTGGAGGCTGCTAGATGCAGGAGGAAGGGTTACTCTCATGAGGCCCTCCCAAAAGCCCAGCTTTCCTTGTTCACAGTCATAAGCCCCCTCCAGACAGCCTAGCCCTACCGGTACCCCAGAGGTTCCAACCCACCTGAGGCAGAAGCAAGGCTTGCCCTCCTCCCATACCAGAGGATCTGTTCCAGAAAAGCAACTCATCAAAGATATCTTCCCAGATGTTCCACTGCCTGAGCCCAGCATGGGTTGAACACAGCAAGGTTTTTCTCTCTTTCTCCCCTCAACCTGCCCCAACAGGCTATCTTCCCCTCCTTTAACCAGGCAGGGGTCTGCCTACCAAAGTCAAGACAGTAGTCTTAAACTCAGGGCCAAGGGACCTTTATTGGGCTGGGAGAAGTAGGCTGGAGGAGGGAGCTATGGGGTCCCAGCTGCGCAGGCTCTGACTCCTACTGGCGGTCCAGGGGTGGGCACCCCAGCCAGTACTGGGCAATGGAGCGTGGGTAGGGAGGGTGCACAGTGTCCACTCGCCGTGTGCGAAGATTGACTCGGTAGTACTTGTCTGAAAGAGAAGATAGGAGGAAGTGTTTGAAACTCACCCAGAACCTGCCCACTCTTGTCCTGAGAAGACCCCCAGAGGGAAAGTGACCATCTACAAGGCAGCTAGAGGCTCCTGGCCTGGCTTCCTGGAGCCACTGCCTGCAGACTGTGTTCAGCCCATGGGGACCAAGGCTAGCGGGGAAGGCAAGACCAGCTTCAGGGGAGGCAGAGGCTCCCACCTCCTGAGAAGAAGTAGACACTCTGAACGGGCTCGCAGGTGGCAGGCACAACCCAACTCATCTCGTAGTCATCATAGCCCACTCCCAGCCCACTCTCCTCACTGGAGAACAAGGACAGCCAGAGGGAACGGGATGGCCGGTGGGCGTTCTGGATGCGGCTGCGGCTTCGGCTACCACGTGAACGATAGCGTTTGCGGCTGCGACGTCTAGACTTTTGCTTCTTGGCCCCGGAAGAGTGGAGCACAGACCCTGAGACATAGATGTGGCCAGGCATGGCAGCGTCTACTTTCCCAGGCACACCATGCCAGTCTCGGCTGATGAACTGAGGCTCTCTGACACCACCTGTGGCGGGAAAGGAGTTAATGGGGGCCTTTAAGGGACCAGACCCTACTCTCTCCAACAGAGCCTTTAGAGTTCATTGACTGTGCCGTGTCACAGCAAGCTAGTGGCAGAGCCCAGGACCCAGGCCTCGGGTTCCTTGTCCAGTGTTCTTTCCTTTGGCCTCCCTCCACCATATCCATGACATCTCCTCCCCAAACCCTAGGCCACCCTAGCCCCTCGGCCACAGCCCCTCCCTCTGCTGGCTGTGCTAGGCAAAGTCCAAAATGTGGGGTCAAAGCAGAGCCAAGCCTCTCCACAAATGTCAACAAAAGCAAAGTCCCATCTGAGCAAACAGCTCTGGATTGATAGCCCCACAGTCACAGTCCCCTCCAGACAGCCTAGCCCTACCTCTACCCAGGGGTTCCAGCCCTCCTGAGGCAGAAGCAAGGCTTGCCTTCCCCCCATACCAGAGGATCTGCCCCAGAAAAGCAACTCAAAGATGTCCTCCCAGCTGTTCCGCTGCATCAGGGCAAAGTGCTCAAACACAGCCGACAAGGAGCTGCCTTCACACTCCTCCTGGCTAGGCTGGCGCTGGAACTCATACTCCCAGTACCGTTTCCCTGGGGAAATCAGGAGGGGGGGTCTGAGCAAGGCTGGAGAGCCCAGGGGCTGCTGAAGCTAGGAGCTGGGGGGGGCACGGGGGGAGGGCGGGGGGTCGGGATATAAGCTGAGGCCTGTCCCCGAGGAATCGTGGAAGGAAACCAAGACCCTCCACTACCGTACCTACCCATTTTCTCCCACCCCCTGAGTACCCTTGAAGAAGTAGACCCGCTCCCGGCCACTGTAGCTGTGGGCAGGGAGCGCCAAGGCTGCATCTAGGTTGTCCGGGATGCCACTGAAGCCTTCAGAGATGTTTCGAGGGAAATCGGGGTCCAGGACACCATCCTCAAAGCGCCAGTACTGACCACCCTAAGAGGCAGGGAAGGTGAAAAGGTGTGAGATGAAATGTATATGTGGCCAGCCATGGTTGGGCACAGAGACAGAGGCCTAGACCTTAGAGCAACTGCCCGCAGCTCCAGGCTTACTAGCTGGGACCTGGAGCCTCAGCCGGCTTTGTTCTCAGAGCCCCAGCCAGGTGCCACAGAGCTCTAGTTCTGGCCTTCCTGCCCACCATGGCCTTGAGGATACCAGCTCCCAAGCCCTTCGTAGATGCTCAATACCCAGCCCCTCAGCCCCTGGGCCCGACACCTTGAAGAGGTAGGTCTTCCCCTGACAGTTGATGCGGGTGAAGGCAGCATCAATGGGGCCCTCTATGCCCCAGACATCTCGGATGAGCTTGGGGTACCCAGGCCTCACTGCCGTTTCATCTAGCTCATAGCAGTACTTTCCTAGAGTGGAGGAGGCTGTATGAGGGAGAGGTATTCCGGTGGCAGACCCACCCCAAGACCTGCCCCTGGAATCACCTCGGAAGGCAAAGATGGAGCCATTCTTGAGGTCAGTGAAGGCATCAAAGGGCTTCCCACTACACAGCTCTTCCTCTGCAGGGGACTCCAGGGCTCCTTGATCAGTGGCCTCAGGCCTTAGGCTCACCCCCTCGGGCCCTGAGGTCTCTGTCTTGGGCCCAAGAGTGCTTGCTTCAAATGTGGGAGACTCTTTCTCAGGGTTCAGGACAGGTGGTGGCTCAGAAGTGCCTTCAGACTGGGACTGGGAGACAGCGGTCGTCGGGGAGGGGCTCTCCATCTGTGTGTGGTCCTCAGTGTTGTCCTTGGTCTGGTAATCGTAGTACCCATACTCATCTTCCGCCCGAGTGAATACATCCCCACGAGTCACTGCAGGCAGAGTGGGCAGAAGTGAGTCTCCAGCGGTACAGGAGCTCACAGGCCTACAGCCCTGGGCTCAGAACACACCTTGGGGCTTGCACTCAGCCATGTAGTCACTGCAGCAGCTCTGGTAGTAAGAGCACAGCTCGTCACACTGACACTTCTTCTCAGCGTTGAAACCCTCAGTGCAGCGCCCCTTGCATGACTCTACAGAGAGGGGGTGTTAGTTGGCACAGCCATGCCCGGGCCACCCTTGCCCACCCCACGTTGCCACCAATACCCTCCTGCACCTTGGTCGGCCAGAGCAACCCATGCCAACAGGGCCAGCATGAGAAGGGGCCTCAGGGGTGCCATGGCAGGACCTCTAGCTGAGGGCCTGGGTAGCTGGGCTCTGAGCTCCTGAAGTCTGTGCTCTGCTGTTGGAGGGAGGGAACTGGAGGAGAGGAGCTGCCTTTTCTGTTGCTCTGTTTGCTTAACCTCAAACCCAGCCCCCATATCCTGGTTCCAGAGGCTGCTGCAGCACAAGGTCACATTCCTAGAACCCTGCACCTGGGAGAGCTGGGAAATGGAATGCTCTCGATAAACTCAAGGTCATTGGGTCATCAGGACGGAACTACCGGGAAATACAGCAGAAAATTCATCCCGTCACTCACTGGACAGACTTTTTAACCTTTCTGGGTCTTCGTTCTCTTTTCCATAAAGTGGAACTATAAGACCTTGCCTCATGAGGTGTCAAGATATTACATGAGCTGGACCAGACGAAATGCCCAGGGTAACTTTAAATTTGTTCCCATAAATGGTTATTGATCCATGGTTTGTTTGATTAGACCCATCCCTGGCTAGATGCTCATCCACCGACCCGTTGTGTATTTAGAGCTGTGGGAGGGAGTAAGAGATTGGGGAAATTTTCTTTTTTTATCATAAAAGTACAAAGTTTCATTTGTGGCTTCTCTTTGGGAGTGCATCAGTCTCTCTATACTGGTCTTCATAGCATAGGAAACAGCAAATTCAATCACATCAGACCAGATTAGATTTCTGAGGCCTCCACTAAATCACTGTTCCTTGGGCAGGCCACTCTCTTGTCTCTTCAGTCTCTTGCTCTGTGAAGAACGGGTTTATTCAGCACACTTTCAGACTCTCCCGAGAAGTGTGATCCATCTACCCAAAACATGCCCATTGGCACAGAATACCTGATTTTGGCGTCCAATTTTTTTCAGACCTCCACAGGCTTCTGAAGCCTTCCCACCACCTGGAGGACGTGATCTTGAGCTTAAGCTGCCGCTTTTCGTCCTGTAATCAGAGGAGAGGGTGGCTTTCACCTTTCTCATCTCTGTGGGTCTCAGTAACCTGACCTGTGAAATGGAACAGTAATCCTACTCCACAGGAGTGTTGTGAGGCTTAATTGAGAAGCACTCATAAAAAGGCCTTAAGAGTTGTACCGGGGCTGGGGTGTGAGACCTAACTAACTCCATTTTAAAGTTTGACTCCATCTTAAATATAAGACAGTAAAGTGGCCTTGACATAAATTCCACTTCACTGAAGTCAACTATTCCCCTAGTCTCCTTTGTGCCCATAAACTAATGGTAAAATGTCCTTGCTGAGGGACAACAGATAAAAAAGAGACACAGCTCCTAACTCAATCCTTTGTCTGCCCAGAAAACAGATGCTCCCGGGCCCATTATCTATAGAACATTCTGTCAATGTGCTGATTGTTCCTTTTTCCCATAAACTCTACATGTAGCCACCCCTCAACCCGCCATGCTTGCTAAATATCAACCAATCATGTAACTGCTAAATAGAACATCCCCAAACCTTGCGGTAGCCACAATAAAAACCCTGCTGATTTGGAATTCGGGGCTCTCAATCCTGATCCGCTGCGTCGGTGACGGTTGAGTGCCCCTGCTCGAGCTTGAATAAACGACCCTCGTGTGTTTACATCGGAAACGGCTCCTTGGTGGTCTTTGGGGACTTCGCGATCTGGGCAAAACAGGGGATGTAGTTTAGTGGTAGAGTGCTAGTCTAGTATGGGGGGGGGGCTGGGTTCCATCCCTAGCACGGCAGAAAAAACAAAAACAAACAACAAAAGCCCCATGGAATTATTATGATTGCTTTAACCACTAGGCGGGGAGGGGTCACACTCTGAGACCTCCTCTCTCCACTCTCTTCCTCCACATCCAGGAAGGGCAGAGAGAGCCAGGATGTGGGCGTGGCTCGTCACGGCTTGGGGGTGGGGCTGTGCAGGCGGAGGGGGCGGAGTCCCTGGAGAGCAGAAGCGGGGCCTCCACTCCGGGACTCGCAGCTCGGGGCGTGGCTACTGCCCCGCATCTCTCAGCCCAGCAGATCCCCAGCTGGAGCTGTGCTTTGTTCTGGCCGCTGCCTTCTCTCCCCTCCCGCATCTGGGTGCATCTTTGGTCTTCCCATTCCCTCCCTCCGCCCGCTCCCTGAATCTGGGCTCGAATCCCCTTCCCCAACCGCTGCGGCCGAGCCCGGCCTCCCCCTCCCCCAAATTTCTGGCCGGCGCCCTTGCCAGGGGGCCTTCTCTGCATCTCTCGGTGCGTCTCCTTCCCTGCCGCCCGCTCTCCCGGGCCGGGGTCGCTACACCCGGCCCCGCCCCTCCAGGCGGGGAATGTCCCCCGCAGCCCCGCGCCCATGGTCCTGACGCTGCTCCTCTCCGCCTACAAGCTGTGCCGCTTCTTCGCCATGTCGGGACCACGGGCCGGCGCCGAGAGGCTGACGGTCCCCGGGCCGGATGGGGGCGGAGGCGCGGGCCCGTGGTGGGCTACGGGCGGCCGCGGGTCCCGCGAGGTGTCGCCTGGGGCGGGGGCCGAGGTGCAGGGCGCCCTGGAGCGTGCGCTGCCCGAGCTGCAGCAGGCGCTGTCGGCGCTGAAGCAGGCGGGCGCCGCGCGGGCCGTGGGCGCGGGCCTCGCCGAGGTCTTCCAGCTGGTGGAGGAGGCCTGGCTGCTCCCGGCCGTGGGCCGCGAGGTGGCCCAGGGTCTGTGCGACGCCATCCGCCTGGACGGCGGCCTCGACCTGTTGTTGCGCCTGCTGCAGGCGCAGGAGCTGGAGACGCGTGTGCAGGCCGCGCGCCTGCTGGAGCAGATCCTGGTGGCCGAGAACCGGTGAGGGCGCGGGTCCGGGGGAGGCGCCGCGTGGTGTGGGGCGACAAGGGCGGTTGAGTGCCTGCATCTCTCGCGTTACCTGCATCAACTCCATTGCACTCCTACACTATCCCTCTAGTAGGTATTAGCACGTCCATTTTACAAATGAGGAAACTGAGACCCGGGAAAGTTTAGTGACTTGCCCAGCGTCACACGTGTCATAAAAAGAACCAATAGTGCAACGAGGATTCACTCCCAGGGCTGGTGGGGTAAGGAATGGAGACCGGAAGAGGAAGATTAGTCAGGACAGGAGCTGTCCCTGGTTCTATGGATGGAGGTGGCATCCTACTGCCAGTGGCCCTCAAGCCCCAAGTTCTTCACCCATGTGCCTGGGTGCCCTTCTGTGCTGCCTTCTCTCCCTACTAGACATGATCTCATTCTGCAGATGCTGATCGGGAACAGGTTTTCTGCTGGGATTAATGAGTGGGGGCAGAAGAAACTGAGGTGCAGAGCTGGGCAGGGGCCAAAGTATGGGACCTCTTCCCCTTACCCATATAGTACCAAATGCAATAAGTGGGGTTAAACGGCAGCCTTTGCCTGCCTCTTGGTAATCCCCTGGAGTGTAGAGACCCCCAAGGACTCCTTTCCCTCTCTTCTGATGCCAGAGCAGACCAGGGTGTCACACTCCACCAGGGTGTCTCACTGAATTCCCAGGCTCCTCAGGCTTAGAGGAGTTTTAGATGAGTCACTTACAGCTCATGCAGCCCTCATGAGAGTGATGGGAATCAGCTAGGGAGATTTCCTTGCCATTTTCGAAAAAAAAAAAAATCTTGTGGTTGGTGGAAATGATACAACTCAAAAAAATTCATGAATGAAGTAATTTAGATTGGGAGATCAAGATATGGTTCTGCTTGATTAGCAGGCCATTGACCTTCAACCCAATATAGGGTCCCCTGATCTCCGTGAATTTGGAAGGCAAGCAGGTGGAGTGTGTGTTCAGTGAGCATGGTGGGGCCCAGGTCTAGCTTGATAGCAGATGGGGCAGCTATAACCAGAAACCTGGAGAGTGGGTACAACCAGCACCATAAGAAGAGGGAGGCTGCAAGATGCAAGCAGCACTGGTATGTTTAAAGGCTGAAAGTGGCAATCCTTGACTCAGTTACTGAGAGGAGTCACTAACTAATGTCCCCAAACCCAGGAAACACACACACACACACACACACCCCACACGCGCGCGTGTCCAGTGTCGGTTCAGCACCAAGGACAGAGTGCAGCACACTTCCTCAAGCCTCAAAATCCTTCCCAAGATTCTCAGGATCTCTGCACCCCTCTAGACTGCCCAGGGACAGGGCTGGAAAGGGGATAAGAATGAGAACTTGTGTTTATGAAACCTTTTCCTCCACGACCAACCAACCCCCATTGCCTCCTCTTCCATCTGGGTGTCCTCCTCTTTGCAGCTCTGTTCTTCCCAGTGGGCTACTGCACCTGTTGCCCAGGAGCATAGATCACAGTTTCTTTCACCTCCAACTAGCTGGATAAGTCCAACGTGGTAGGGACTCCAGCCTGGCTCCAAAACACCAGTGAGGGCCCCATCTGACTTTGTGCCCCATCTGCAGTTGTGGCTGCTTCAGTGCATGATTAGGCCCAGTCTGTTCCTTTTGAGATGGGCAGCTGAATGTCCAGCTCAGCAAAACTTTGCTGGCCTTATGGCATGTTCTGGACTTGTCACTGTGATGCCCATGAGGCAAGAACTCTGGCTGGCTGGCTGGGCCTCTGTCTTTGGAGTAGCATTACTGGGACAGGACATCATTTGGGAAAGTGGGTGAGACAGGAAGTCTTCCCCTTTCCTGGATTGTGGCAACTCTCCCGCCTGCTCTGCTGGTCTCCAGGCTGTCTGTTGGATCTGTCCCTCCTGAAGTAGCCAGAGTGAGTTTCCTAAAACCCGTGTGTGACCAGGTCACTCCCCTTCCTGAAGTTCTTCACTAGCTTCCATTTGCTATCAAGATAACCTACAAATGCCTTGAGGTAGCTGCAAAGGCCTCCAGGATTGATCTCTTTCCTCACTCTTCCCTTGAACCCTCTGCCTCCATCACATGAGCATGCGGGCAGCTCCCCAAGTGCACCAGCTCTCTAATACCTGCAAGCTTTTGCATATGCCCGTGTCTGGATGCAGTATCCCTTTTCTCCTCCTAGCTAGCGCCCTCCGCCACCTTTTGACCTAGCCCCATAGGCAACCATACAACATATTGCATGTATATCTTTCTATTCTGTGTTCTGGTAAAATCTTTCATCTTGTTTTGTGTGCACATGGTTTTGGTTTACACAAATGGTGCTGTGTTATACAGTACATTCTGTTTCTTACTTTTTTTAACTCAGTGTTAGGTTTTTAAGATTCTTCATGTTGCAGTGTTATCATCTGCTCAGTCACCTGTTACTGTGCCAAAATCCTCTAGTGGGCTCCTGTCCAGGTTATCTCCACTCTCCTAGGCTTGATACTGATAGCCTCCAACTTCATACCACAAAAAAACCCAACACAGTCAAGAGTACCCCTGGCCAAGTGCCCTGGCTAATCTGTGTGATTTGGAGAGATTGCCTCCATATTGTCTCCATATCAATGGCCCCAACATGCACCTCTGCCCACAGTGCTTGTGGCATTTGTAACTCTATACCTCACAAATCCTCTGTATTATCCAATATGTGACTTTGCCCATCTAATAAGTGTAAAGTGGTAGCTGTTCCTTTAGTGTTTATTTCTGTAATTACTGATAGGTTAAAGTATCTGTTTCCTTGCTTGCTCACATTTTGGATTTCCTCTTTTATCGCTGGGTGCAGTGGCACACACCTGTAATCTCAGCTACTCAGGAGACTGAGGCAGGAGAATCACAACTTTGAGCCAAGTGTAGCTAACTTTTTTTTTTTTTTTTTTTGAGACAGGGTCTTGCTCTGTAATTCAGGCTATCCTTGAGCTCACTATGTATCCCAGGCTGGCCTTGAACTTGGGGCAATCCTCCTACCTCAGCCTCCCAAGTGCTGGAATTACAGGTGTGTACCACCATGCCAGGTTTAGTTTTGTTTTGGGGGCACAAGGCCTTACTCTGTAATTCAGGCTGGCCTTAAACTCACTGTGTAGCCCAGGCTGGCCTTGAACTCACAGAAATCCTCCCACTTCAGCCTCCTGAGTGCTGGGACTACAGGTGTGTGCCACCATGTCTGGGCCACATGTAGGCAATTGAGTGACTTAGTGAGACCTTATCTCCAAATAAAAAAGGGCTGGCGATGTAATTAAGGACCTGGATTCAATCCCTAGTACTGGAAAAAAAAATCAAGCCAAGCATGGTGGCACACACCTATCCCACCATTTGGGAGGCTGAGGCAGGAGGATCCCTCCAAATTCAAGACCAGTCTGGGCTAAATAGTAAATTCAAGGCCAGCCTGAACTTGTCTCAAAAAACCAAAAGAGAGAGAGATTGCGAATGAGCAGCACAGAGATGTAGCTCAGTGGTAGGGCCTGTGCCTAGGTTCCATCCCCAGCATAAAAACCAAACCAAAAAAACTTCTTTTAAGTTGCCTGTTTATGTCCTTTGCTCACTGTCTACTGAATTCACTCCTTTGTTCTTCTTAATTTGAATATTTACTTACATAATCTCCATATGAATCCCCTGTTGATTTTCTATTTTTCTTGTCTGGAATTAGACATTGTATCATCTCTGGCTGCCACCCAAACCCCAAACATGCTACCTCATCAGCCTCGGGGTCCCAGCCCCTGGCTGTTCTCTCTCTCCCTGTTATGTTCTTTTCTCAGACATTTAACTCAGAGCCATCACTCCACCAGGCAGGCTCCATTACATCACTCACTTTGGATAGCATCATGGCCAGATCTCTATTATCTTGGCCTTCTTACTTGCTGAGGATAAGCTCCAGTAAGACCTTTTTTGCTTTTGTTTTTTGAGACAGGGTCTCACTACGTAGTTCAGTCTGGCCTTGAAATCACTGTGTAGCCCAGGCTGGCTTCAAACTCATGGTGATCCTCCTGCCTCAGCCTCCCGAGTGCTGGACATGTCACCTCCACACCTGCTCCTGACAGGTTTAGCCACTGTATAAGAGCACCATACACAGTAGGTCCTCATGAAATATTTGTTGAACAAATAAATAAGTCCCAGTCATGGAACTTAGAGTGAGAAAAAAATTTGAAGGCAAAGCTGAGAGTGGTGTACTTCAAGTGACACTTTAAGTGACAATAAATTAACACTGCTGAGCTTTTACTACGCCTCAGATACTGTGCCAAGCACTCTATATGGATTATTTTATTAATCCTGACAATAATCCTGCGAGGTAGGTATTCTTATATTCCTACTTACGAGATGCCGAAACTAAAAAAAAAAGATAAAAGAAGGTCCCCAAGGTCCCACAGTTAGAAAACAGCAAAGAAGGAACCGGGCTGGGGCAGGGTTGGGGGACCAGAGCTGGAAGCATTGTGGTTCTCAAGGTGAGGAGGTAGCAGAGGAAACAGCTGTGGCCAGGACTTCTGCACCCTTAAAATCAGAGAAGACTGGTCCTAACGAGGCCAGAGGAGAAGCAGGAAGTATAATGCTGTTCCCTGAGTTTCATATAACACTACGGAGGCCCAAAGAGGTTAAATGACCAGGCCCCCAAAGAGGAAACTAAGTCTCCCACCCGGCAACTCCACTGATCCCTTCCACTTTCTCCTGGCAGGGACCGCGTGGCGCGCATCGGACTGGGCGTGATTCTGAACCTGGCGAAGGAGCGCGAGCCGGTGGAGCTGGCGCGGAGTGTGGCGGGGATCTTGGAGCATATGTTCAAGCACTCAGAGGAGACATGCCAGCGGCTGGTGGCTGCTGGTGGCCTGGACGCCGTGCTGTATTGGTGCCGCCGCACAGACCCGGGGCTCCTGCGACACTGCGCGCTGGCGCTGGCCAACTGCGCGCTGCACGGGGGCCAGGCGGCGCAGCGGCGCATGGTGGAGAAGCGCGCCGCCGAGTGGCTCTTTCCCCTCGCTTTCTCCAAGGAGGACGAGCTGCTGAGGCTGCACGCCTGCCTCGCCGTGGCGGTGTTGGCAACCAACAAGGAGGTGGAGCGCGAAGTGGAGCGTTCAGGCACGCTGGCGCTCGTGGAGCCTCTCGTGGCCTCGCTGGATCCTGGCCGCTTCGCCCGCTGTCTGGTGGACGCCAGCGACACAAGCCAGGGCCGCGGGCCTGACGATCTGCAGCACCTCGTGCCGCTGCTCGACTCGTCGCGCTTGGAGGCTCAGTGCATCGGGGCTTTCTACCTCTGTGCGGAGGCTGCCATCAAGAGCCTGCAGGGCAAGACCAAGGTGGGCTAGGGTAGATCTGAGCTTAGAGAGCCCTGGGAAGGGTTCCCAGAGGAAGTGACATTCAACTGGGGCTTGAGGTACACCTAAGAATTGCTGAAGCTAGAGGAAGGTCTAGGGGTCAGTCATTCTGACCGTGCAGGCAAGACCCAAACTTTAGACTTGGCCACTGGGGCCAGGAGGAAGACACTGAGAGATTTATTTATTTATTTATTTATTTATGGGGAGCCAAACTCAAGACCTTGCTCTTACCAAGCAGGCACAGCGCCACTGAGCTACATGCCCGGCTCCACTGAGAAACTTTTAAGCTGGGGACACTTGTGTTTTACAAAGATCACCTTGGCTGCTGTGTGGAAAGGGGGCTGGCAAGGAAGAAACTAATGACAGGAGGACCCGATAGGAGCTATGACAGAGAGCAGGGAATTGAGAGAAGGCACACAGTGTGTTGGCAGTGACAGGGAGAAGCAGACACATTCAAGAGGTGTTTGAGGAGTGGAATTTAGGACCTGGGAGAAGGAGAGCAAGGTCATGAAGGTGACTCCTGGTTATGAACCTAGACAGCCCTTGGATCAGGTAAACTGGGTAAAAGGCGGACAGGCAGAAGTAGGACGGGTGGGGGGATTGAGTTCAGTGGGGCATGTTGGTTCAAGGTGTCTGAGAGCTGCCCCGTTGGGAACCTTCAGTGGGCAGTTTAACCATTTAGGTCCCTGGAAAAGAGATGGTGGCCAGAGACAGAGGTTTGGGATACCAGTGTGTCAGCCAAATAACATTCACCTGAGTCTCAAAGCATCCCTAGGGCCAGGGTCTAACTCACAGGCATTAACTTGCTATGTGGCCTTTGTCACTTGGATTCATGGTTTACTTTTGTTGCTATTTTTGTTACAGTCCTGGGGATGGAACCCAGGACCTTGTGCATGCTAGGCAAGTGCTCTGCCACTAAGTGCCTTTCCAGCCCTGGCTTTGTGTTTATCCTCTGGAAAACTGAAGCTGCTGAGCCACAGTAGCTGTTTTTACCCTAGATGTGGGACTAGTGATAGTTTCATTAGTAAAAGTTTGCGGGGTTTTTTAAAAAAAATTAAAGATTCAAGACTATCCCTGTAACACCCTCTCTCTCCTTTGCACTCCTCTGGGGGACCCCTGAGAATGGCAATAGGTGATGCAGGGAGTGGAACACATCCCTTGGCCCACCCTGTTTATACTACAGCTGTCATCTAGGGATGCCTGGAGGAGTGTATCTCTCAGGTGGTTGCCACCCATCATGTATGCTCCTGCAGATCTCGAGGCTACTTCCAACATCCAATATTTAAGCGCTTCCGATTTACCTCTCTGTGTCCCAGAGCTGGGCCACAACAAGACTTTTCTTTGTGTACATTGTTCTGCCTTGGGAGAAGGGACTTTAGGGAGTAAAGACCCTAATGATTGAATCTGGGCAGTGGCTCTGTCACCCCTTTCCCACCAAAGCCAAGTGAATGCAGTTTAACAAAGACGTTGAACCCCTGCTCCATGTCCTTTGCTGAGCCAGGCTCAGGGCTACAGCGGCGACTAAGAAGGCCCTCAGCTTGTAGTCTAGTGGAAGTTGCATTATTAACTAGCGACAGTGGCATTCAGAGTGCACAAGTCTAATTGGAAGTGTGAGCCAAGCCATGCAAGAATCAAAGCTGCATGCAGGAAGTGCTAGTCAGTTTGGGTTCTGATGGATAAAGATTCCTAAGAGCAGGCTGGAAGAGTTAAGGGTTCCAGAACACCATGGTGGAGACCTAGAGGTATGGGAGCCTTGGTGGGTGTGTGAAGTGAGCAGAGAAGAGTGCGCTGGGGCTGCATTGTGCAGCCTGGCCACATACTAAGAGCTCAGACTTTATCCCAGGGCAGATGGCAGCTGTCCAAGGGCAAGTGAAGGGGACCTGGTCAGAATGGCCTTTGCTTCAGGAGGATGATTAGTGGATGACGGCAGGTTTAGTTAGGGCACACGGTGGGACTTTCAGCAGTGAGGGGAGGACTGGGCACTTTTTGCGACGGTGGCTGGTTGGCTGGTGGACCCAAATGCCCTCTTACCGCCCGTTCCCTAGGTGTTCAGCGACATTGGCGCTATCCAGAGTCTGAAACGCCTCGTGTCCTACTCCACCAATGGCACCACGTCGGCGCTGGCCAAGCGCGCTCTGCGCCTGCTGGGCGAGGAGGTGCCGCGGCGCATCCAGCCTTGTGTGCCCAGCTGGAAAGAGGCGGAGGTCCAGACGTGGCTGCAGCAAATCGGCTTCTCCCAGTACTGCGAGAGCTTCCGGGTAGAGCCGCTAGGGGCCGCCTCCCGGAGTTGGAGTGGCCGCGACCCAGAGGGCCGCAAGCTGGGGAGCCCTGGGCATAGGCACCTGCGTCTCCTCAAGGCCCACGCGCCTGCTGCGCCACGGTAGCCTTTTGGGGGTGGGAAGCCTGCTCTGAGCCACCTTCGGTATCCCTCACCTCTGATCTGGGGCCCCCCGCCGCTCCACTGCCACCATCAGTTCCCTTCCCTTGCATTTGTGCAGAAGAGCGTCCCTCCTCACACCTGACCCCTCCCCCAGGAGCAGCAGGTAGATGGAGAGCTGCTTCTGCGGCTCACGGAGGAGGAACTGCAGACAGACCTGGGGATGAGATCGGGCATCACCCGCAAGAGGTACTACCCCGACCCTGCCAAGTCTCACTAACCGTCTGGACCTCTGCCACCAGGCAGTCCCCAGTCAGGACCTGAGCGTCTTCTCCTTCGGGTGCAGGTTCTTGAGAGAGCTCACGGAGCTCAAGACCTTTGCCAACTATGCTACCTGCGACCGTAGCAACCTGGCTGACTGGCTGGGCAGCCTAGATCCGCGCTTCCGCCAATACACCTATGGGCTGGTCAGCTGCGGTCTGGACCGCTCCCTGCTGCACCGCGTGTCCGAGCAGCAGCTGCTGGAGGACTGTGGCATCCGCCTGGGTGTGCATCGCTCGCGCATTCTCTCTGCAGCCCGAGGTCAGCCCGCCCCTCCGGGACCCCACCCCAGCCCCACCCTGCAAGGAGTGTAGGGACACAATGGAAGAGGTTCAAATCTCCCTAGGGAGTGATTGAGCCCTGCTGGGTCAGACAGGGCTCTGAGCAAGTAAAGGTGAATATATTGCACTTTGCCCTGGAGAAGTTCCCAGGCTGAAGTGGGTAATGTAGGCTGGTATACAAGCGAGCAGCTAGCCCTCACAGGAAGCATGCCCAAGACTCCAGTGGAAGGGCAGAGGAGGAAGCTCTGCTTACCTGGCCCACCAAGTCTAGATTTTGGAGAGGAAGGGATGCCTGACCAGATCTGGAGAGATGTATGGCATGAGGTGGAGGTAGCCGGAAGGGCCGCCCAGTCAGAGGGGGCAGCTTGTGCAAGTGCAGAGGCAGCACAGTGCATGGGGCTGCAGACACAGGGTATGGGTGGGCACCCAAAGGACTTAGCCTAGTAGCCAACAGTTTACAAAGTATGGATTCTGCAGGTGCTTTACAGTGAAGACTAGGGCTCTAGCAACCCTCCTTATTTACTAACTTATTTTCATTTACTAGTTACTATTTAACTACTAGGCTATCTAGTAGGTAGAATTCACAGAGGATGGTGTCTGGTGCTAGCACTGAACGTCAGCTCTGCTAGGGCAGAGATCTGACTGTTTTGTCCACTGCTGTGTCCCAAAACCTTAGGATAGCGCCTGGCACACAGCTTGGGTTTAGTAAGAATGGATGGTCCCCAACGTCTGACTAACAGCTTTCCCTCTTCTCTGGGTGTGCTGGTGCACACCTGTAATCCCAGTGCTAGGGAGGCTGAGGCCAGAAGATCACCACAACTTCCAGGCCAGCCTGGGCTACATACAGGGTTCCAGGCCAGACTACATAGCGAGACCTTATCTCAAAACAAGCAAACAATCAAACAAAAACAAAAAAGACAATTTTTCAGCTTTATGATGGTGTGAGAGCACACCTATGTAAGTTTTTTTTACTTTAGTCCATATTCAGTACATTATGTGAGATATTCAACACTAGATTATAAAATAAGCTTTGTAGATGATTTTTGCCCAGCTGTACACTAATGTAAGTGTTCTGAGCATGTTTAAGGTAGGCAAGGCTCAGCTGTGATGAAAATTGACATTTTCAATTTATGATGGATTTATTGGAACATAAACCCATTGTAAATTGAGGAGCATCTGCATTTATTGAATAAACAGGTGGGAGGCAGGAGTTGAGGCTGGCACCAAGGAGGTTTCTGATGGAAACTAGGAGGAAGGGGAATGGGGAAGGTCTCGGCTATGTTGAGTATGGAGGGCCTGTGGGCAGCTGGCTGCACAGGTCTGCAGTTCTCAAGAGAGAGCAAGGCTGGAGGTACATGTCAGTGTCCCTAAAACCCAGTATCTGCCTTCTGAGCCTTCCTTCCTGTAGGGCGTATGTATCCACTTCAGTGTCCCTTTCTAGAGCAAGCCACCTTGCCCAACCTGGGCTGAGAAGGCTGGGGAGTGGTGGGGAGGGACTACCCTTACCATGCTGTCTCTCATTGGCCTCAGAAATGCTCCACTCCCCACTGCCCTGTACCAGTGGCAAGCTTGGCGGGGACACCCCAGATGTCTTCATCAGCTACCGAAGGAACTCAGGCTCCCAGCTGGCCAGGTAAGGAGGGCGGGGGGATGGCCTGGGGCCTAGGGGTGTGGCTACAGTGGTGACACAGAATGTCTCTGCAGCCTCCTGAAGGTGCACTTGCAGCTGCATGGCTTCAGCGTCTTCATCGATGTGGAGAAGCTGGAAGCTGGCAAGTTCGAGGACAAGCTTATCCAGAGTGTCATAGGTGCTCGCAACTTCGTGCTGGTGCTCTCAGCTGGCGCACTGGATAAGTGCATGCAGGACCATGATTGCAAGGACTGGGTGCACAAGGTAGGTTCTGGCCTGTCCTCTGCACTCCAAGCACTGGCCTGGTCCAGGGGACAGGGTCCTCCTCCCATCCCTTCTTGTTTGCACATCCCTGCACCCAGCTGGAAGTTGAGAGCCACAGCTCTGACTGGAATAGAAAGAACTTTAGGAAGCCAGTAGACACTCTGGGCCTGTTTTCTCTTCTGTGAAATGGGAATAACCTACCTATCCTATTCATCTTGTAGGATTATTGTGAGGGTCAGAGAGGGAAAAAATGCTTTGAAGCTGGGTGTGGTGGCATATGCCTATAGGCTCAGCACTTGGGAGGCTGAGCCAAGAGGATTACCATGAACTGGAGGCCAGCTTGGGCTACATAGTGAGTTGAAGGCCAGCCTGAACTGCATAGCTAGACCCTTTCTCAAAGCAAAACATTAAAAAAAAAAAAGCCGGGGATTTAGCTCAGTGGTTCCGCTGCCTGCCTCGCAAGCGCAAGGTCCCAAGTTCGATCCCTGGTACCAAACCAAAACCCCAAAACCAAAACAAAACAAAACAAATATTCTTTGAAAAATAACCTCTGTAAGGGACATGAGAGTATAGTATCGTGACAGGTAAAATGGAATCATTGTTAAGAGTACAAAACAGCTGGGCATGGCAGCATATGTTTATAATCCCAGCACTCTGGGAAGCTGAGGTGAGATAGTCACAAATTTGGGCCAGCCTGAGCAACTTTGCAACATTCAGTCTCAAGATAAAAAATAAAAAAGGGCTAGGAATGTAGCTCAGTTTGAAGGCCCTGGGTTCAATCCCTAGAACCACACACACACACACACACACACACACACACACACCCCACAAATGGATCACACCTGTAATCCCAGGTATTTAGGAGGCAAGATCACAAGTTTGAGGCCAGCCTGGGCAACTTAATGAGAACTTGTCTCAAGATAAATTCTAAAAAGGTCTGGGGGTATAGCTCAGTGGTAGAGCACCCCTAGGTTCAATCCCTAGAATCAGAAAAAAGAGAGCTAGAGAGCAAAAAAGCAAAAGAGCAAGAGGGGAGGGAGTGAGAAAGAGGGAGGATGAAAAAACTCTATATTTGAATCCTGACTCTGGCCTTGGGCAAGTTACTTAGCCCCAAGAACCTTTATGTTCATTACTGAAAAATAGGGATCAAAATAGTACCTAACCCTAGGACATTGTTACAGGAATTAAAAGAGCTAAATTGTGAAGTGCTTAGAATGCCTAACATATGATAACTGCTCAATAATGAGAACTATTATTAGTAACATAATTATTATGCCCACTACAGCTGTTTAACTCACCAATGTACCTTCAGTGCATGACACATAGTAGGTGTAACAGACAGTGGAGGAATGAGACCACCCAAGCAGGCTAGTGAAAGCAAAGAGGTACAGACTTTATTCACCTGGGCAGAGGTGGACTGATGGCAAGCAAGAGGCCATCAGCACCAAACAAAGAAAAGGCAGGAAGCTTTATAGGGCATTGAAAGAGAGGTCTGGCACATCTATCACATATAGGAGTCAGAGCAAATATTTGTGGTCGTCCATGCAGTGATTGAGACAGATGTATGGATATTTTTACGTGACTTGGCACTGAAAAGATGTTGTACTTTGTAGTTGTTATCTCTACACTGGGAACATCCCATCCTGTGTTCTTTATTCTATCTGCTCCAAGGCAGAATGGTCGCAGACACAGCACCTGCATAGGTTGCCTGGTTTTTGGGTTTTTTTTAAATTCTTTTATTGGTACATTTTAGGGATACAATACATTTACATTCATCATTGGGAACTTGTACCTGTACATGATGTGTCTTGGTT